AGTACATGGAACGAAATTTGATTTGTTTCGGTATTGGCAATGATTGATGGCAAAGATCACATTGTAATAGTTTAGCAGAAGTAATACGCAAAAATTGTATTTAGCATTAGCATTAGCTTGACTCCAACTTGTAACTTGGAATTACAGCTTAGATGCATTAGATTAATGAAATGTGGGTAGTTGAATTATTCGATCATTTAATGAAAGAAAAATTCTCTAGCTATTGCAAATTCAGCGTCGAAATGGTATAATTTTCTACGTCCATTTCTTTTAATACAGATAGAAGGGATTAATTCTGGGTAATTTTACCTAAACTACTTGTATACTCGTATGCCCACGTTTTAGCCATGTAATAGCATTATTTTGTAGAGGTTTTACAAATACCCAAAGGCCAAGCAATAATATTGATCCAGTTTTGTTATTGCTTAAGCTTGCTGACGGCTACGTATTCTATTAGAAATTGGACAACAAAAATGCGTGTCAAAAATAGCTTAAACCCACCATGCTGGAGGCCATTTTCATAACAAAAGCAACGAGATTATTTTAGCCATCATGGTTAATAATCGCTTAACTTTAATCGTATTGTTTTGACTTTAATTTATGTTTTATGCTCCATTGCACTATAACGGCTGCTATTTCCTTCTCTTGTTATTCAATATACCAGTTTAGTCCTTACCTATTGAATAGATACGCTCATTTTATATGAAATAACTTCAATTGATAACCGCTGGATAAGCATATTATGCGAGTTATGCTGATGGCCGCTTTTGTCCTAATTTAACAAAGGTGGTGATGATTTGGGGGATAGAGATTTAATTTATTCAATACGACAACATGGCATTCAACTCTATGCTAATTTGCAATTGAATGTAAAGACCGATTTTTCTCTTCATAGAGAGGATAATCAATAAGATAATGTAGTCTAATCATTATTACAGCAAGTAAATTCGTTAATAATGATAACATAAAAGACGTAGCATAAAATCATAGCCGCTATTGAAGCCTTTTAAATCGACCATCTTTTGGTCTATACAGCTTGGTCTTATCTCGAAGCTGCTATTTGCAAAACATAACGAAAAGGATTTAACTAGAATAAAAGATGGTTATTGGCTAATCAAAATTAGTTATGTCTTATCGATTTAGCTTTAGTATCTTCAAGATAATTAGAGGATGCCCTGCAACATCACAAATTGCCGTCTTGAATAAATTACAATTCGATTAGTATTCATAGACCACCCAAATCATGTATTGAACGAGGAAATAAATAACAGTTACTAAAGCTTTCTACATCAATATGAATGGTCACAAAATAGCTAAAAATAACAACATTAGCTATCTTCCGTACAGCAATCAAGGGAAAATTTAGAATTATACATAGCAATTAATATACAAATTGAGTAATAGGCAATAGTGTGCAAGATCTTTAGAATCTCCTTCTTCATTTTACGAATACTCTTTTAGAGTCAGTTTAATCTCTTCTACTGTCATATTCTTATCAATAATTAGTTTTAATGCAATTTCTATTAGCGATAGTAGTTTTTCAAGTTAACTACAAATTCTATACGACTTAACTACCTTTGTATCATTCTTGGTTCTATTTGAAAAAAAAAAATCGATAGTCAATAAAGAAAAAGAAGACACAGCAAAAGCTGTTGTTCTCAATAGAACTAAGCCGTATAAACTAATTATAGTATTAATATAGCACCTTCTGTGTATAAAAGCTATCATAAATTGCGAAATTGGCTTATTTTTTCGTTTTGAAGTTTATTATCCAACAGTTTAAGATGAAGATTGTAAACTGATTTGATCCATTACAAACTAGAGAAGCCTCCCCTTAGATTCAGCCCTTAATTTAGAAAGTATAATCTAGACCACAGTCATTAATGATTGGTGATTTAATCTACTACGAAACTAGATTATTTTCTCAGTTTTTATTCTGTCTTATTAAGAATGTAGGCCATTTTAATTTAAGATTACTAAGGTAATATTTTGTAAAAGTTGGTCATTTTTGATTTTGATCCTAACTTTTCCCTGAAAGATAGCAATCCATCTATTTTCCATTATGATTATTAATAATTTGATGAGTTGGATGGATTTGTATTTTAGTAGTTATTGGAGATCATAATTTAGATCTTGAATTAGAGGTAGATGACATACTGCGAAATATGAGCTGACAATAATAATGTATTAATAAACAAACACAAGTTATACAAGTGATTAATTAACGTGAATTTTAGTATATACTTAAACATAATAATATGGCTACCTTGTCCTATGGCTACTTTATGTTATACCATTTTTAAATATCTATCTATGTGTTACTTTATGAGTTCTTATTACGTCTTAAAAACAAAGAAATTGGCGCCGTACGGTAGTTTATGATTATTTTTATTGTACAGCCCTTCAGTTGCTGTGAAATAAAAGGCTAAGTATTTTTTACTTCCACGTATTGCCCCAAGGCAAATTTATCCTATCTTCTATATTTATATGCTTATTACTGTTTTTTCTTAATTTCACATGATATTTGTGTGAGATTAGCAGCAACAACAAGTAAATTTATTTAGTGACGGTAATTCTTGTATTGCCTAAATATTCAATTAAATCAGAGTACAATTTACACTCGACAGCAAACATTGCTTGAGTTAAATAATATGAATCCATCTTTAATTCATTGACTGCTATGATTCATATCGATTCAAGCTGATTATAAATCGAATGATTTAAAGACTTTTACGGCAACAGCTATAACTCCATTTTCAGTTCGATTTCAATTATCATCTTTACTTGCTTAGTACAATATGAAGTTATATATAAATGTAGAATATTAATACAAACACAATAGATCATTCCAATCATAATCACATCTTGATATTAAATAAACATAATCGCTCATCTTTTGATGTTTTGTCAACATATTTGTCAATCAAAGTTGGCGTTTGTCCAGAAATTAAAAAAATTTGCTCGACTAATATTTTTTTCGATCAAATTAACTCACAACTTTGATCTATTTGCATTGATTAGGAAAGCCAACTACACCAAAAAATCAGAATTAATGAAGATCAAAAGCGTTACCTTTTGAATGCTATGACACAAGGAACTCATGACCGGTAAGATCTATTTAATAAAAAGGCAATACGCATAGTTAGATATCAAAATTATAAAAGACCCATAATCTAGTCAAACTATAGCTTATCTTCTTACAAAGACTAATTCAAAGATTGCCATTAGGACAGCTTTTTGTGTGTCATGACAACTAATCTTCTATATTCTAATGATAAACGCCTAGCAATTCGCTGACTACTGAATTAAGGACCGTAGAAAATCAATTAACTGAATTGTATAGTACTTTAGCTTCAACAGGATATCATTTACCAGCAGGTAAGCAATATTGCTAAATATCGGTAACATTGGGTATAGGATGGACTATTTGATTAATTAAGAAATCCAAGTAGAAATACAAACACAAGTATCTGCATAGAATAATCGGCACGTATAGGTTAGACTTCTTTTGAGAAAGTACCGGGCGATCAATCCTTGTTAAATCATGAAAGAAATGGCTATACAGTGAATGAAAATAGTTCAACTGCGTTCAGCACCAGTGATTTTTGAGACAAATAATTTGTACATTTTACTTGCGCTATAGGCTAATATTACTCTCACTGTAATCTAGATTATAAATTCTTCGTATTGAGCTTTAAAACGTTAGCACGACTGATATAGTTTATTGCAGTTAAAAATTAGTTTTAAAGGATCCAAAAAACTAGTAAAAAGACAAAAAATAATAAATAATTGTAGCTTCTGCTAAAAACTAGTTTCTATAGGGATTTAACCGATATTGCTAATATAAAGAATTTTCGTTTAATTTTACTACTGTATTACATATTCAATTCTTTGCGGCAGTTCAAAGATTTGAAGACTTTTTTGATTTCTATTTTATTCTAGCAGAGAATTCGAACGATTACATAAATAGTATGCAAGATACAACTTGGCAATATTCACACATTGATTCTGGGATGGTTTCTGCTGACACGGTAGCAACACCTTCTGGACTCTATTATGAAGAAGAAATGAGTCCGGCCGCTGTTTTTACACCGACGCTTGAAACGTTGCCAACTCAAAATTCTGTTATAAGTAAGTTGTTCTTTATTTTCCTATCGTACCTAAATCTTTTCACACCGTAGTTATTAAAATGTGGCAGATTTTACTGAGCAAATTAAGATGGAAAGCACCTTAAAAAGCTTAAAACAGGAACAGTTTTCGCTTTTCTTACTTGACGAATCTAATCCACTATGTAACTGTAGTTTTTATGGCAACTGTTGTATCATGCAACAGAAGCCAAAAAGATTTAAGCTAGATACTCGTATAAGTATTTCTTGGCCTAAGCGGGTGGCAGAATTAATATCTCACTTTTAAGCTTATTCCTGAAATTATTTTGTTGATTTTAGTTTCGTAGTAATTTTACTGTCTAGCGATATGATTTAAAAAATACAAGTAATCCAAAATTTATAGAATGTTTCTCACGAATACTGTATATTCTTAGATGATTTTCCTGTATTGCACCCTTTTGCGTTTTACACGATCGCTTTATGCTTACTTCTTTCTCTCATTTTGCATATATAAAACATAAATACAGAGCATTAAAACCTTGTTCTTGTTAACTGTAATACCATCATATAGCATTATCTGGTAAAAACTAGAAAAAGAATTACTTATCCACGTTGATAATTGCAGACTACTTTAGGGAATAGCTAAATAAAAATGTTATCCTGTACAGTAAAAACCCTGTTCCATTTAACTATAATACTATCTTATGAAATTATGATAACCAGAAAGAGAATCACGCTTCTATTTTAAGAATTTCAGACTACGGTACATTTGGGAATAGCTAAATAAAAATATTATCTTAACCGAATTTAACTCTGTGATATACTAATCCTTCTCTATGGATTGGCTTAAATTATCAAGGCAATTCGAGCTTTAATAACAATAGAGGCTCCGTACGGACGCAAAGATTGCGAAATCAATTAATGCCAGACACTGATCAAGCTAGCCATGATAATACAATCCAAAATAATGGCGAATTCTCTCCTACGAGGCCATCAACTGTCCAAAGGCTGAATGAACCATCTGCAGCATTAAGACAAGTTATTCACGATTTGATGAATTATCAGGTACAAAAATTTTATTCAATTGGAACGATGAGTAGACACTGTTTTAATTAGTCTTCAACACAGATAAGTGACTAATTAATTCTTTAGTATGATGTCTACCACGATATAGGAAATAATGATTTGGTTACTGGCAGTGTACCATAAACAGATGCTTAATAGTTATACTTTATCTTATATTGATTAAGCGACTAGCAGTATACCCTAGATAGCTGTTTAAAAGCTATATTTCATCTTGCATTAATTTAGCGATTGGCGGTATACCGTAGCGATATAGCTGCTTAATGTCGCATTTTACCTTACGGAGATTTTGCAAAAGACAGCATAACGTTGATAGATGTTTAATAGATATATTTTATCTTATATAGATTTAGCGACTAGCAAATGTACCGTAGATTGAATGCTTAATTGCTATATTTTATCTTATACAGATTTAGCAAGACAGCTGCTTAATAATTGTATTTACTTTATATAAACCTAGTGACTGACAGTAAAATACGTAAACGATTGTTTAATATTTCTATTTTATAATCTCCCATATAGGATGATAACGATTTAGCTACTCGCAGTATACCGGAGGCAATTAATTTGCTATCTCATGAAGATCCCATGACAGTGGTCCAGATTGCTAAATTTATCAATCATTTATCTAAAAAGGAAGCTAGCCTACATGCAATTATCTCTTCAACTCAATTATTGGCTTCTTTAATACATGCAACTCGACGTTTCTTTGAAAATATCGATCTAGTCAAATTGACTGCTAGTACCTTGCACAATTTGTCATTACAGCAAAGTGGCCTGCATGCAATTGTTAAAGCAAGCAGTGTAACTATTCTATTAGAGATGGTTCGGTAAATGACTAAATTGACTCCTATTCGATATAAAATAGTGCTGAAGCCTTAACACATTTAGCTTAAATTTATTTCTACAATCCATTTCTCTAACGTTTATAATCTCTTTTTTATTCCCTTCAAATCGTAGCTATTTATCGCAGCCAGTAATGTTCTATGCTATTACCACATTGCATAATTTGCTGCTGAATTATGCAGAAAGTCGAATGGATATTTTCTTATCAAGAGGATTAGAAGTCATGATTCAATTATTGCCTTTTAATAACGTTAAATTTCAAGCCATCGTTGCCGATTGCATGTACATATTAGCCCACAGTCATCCAGATTGCAAGGTACTTTATTGCTATAGATAATACAAATGATAATTTTTGAAGCAATTCTAGACACAATGTGCGCTTTATATGCATATATAGCATTACTGCTCTTCATATATTTCTTGACAGAAATCCTAGACGATTTTTAAAGAGCAGATATCTCCGCGCTATTACAAAAGCATGCACTATATTATTGCTCTTCTTGCTTATACAGCAGCTTAATCGTAAAAATTGCCTATATAGCTAGCGATTTCAATTAATTCGTTCAAAGTAGTCTTGTTTTTACTCGGAATCCAAGTTGATCATTTATTTGGTTTACATAAATAAGCCATACTGTGCCTTATGTTCGTAGTCAATATTGTTGGTCTAAAAGCTTTGCACTCTTATTATTGCCATTTTTTTAACAGTTTTAAACTAGTCTCATTTAATTGAATCAATATATTAATACCTGATAAAAATTCTATTTCATAAACTCTTTTCTTGCTGTTATGCTTAATCCATTAGTCCGTTATTTACAACTCGGAAGGGCATATCATTTTGATTGATATCATCAGTAATTGCGATTACGAAAAACTACTTTGGACAGCTATTCGCGTCCTGAAATTATTATCCATTACTGCTTCTACTAAAGTAAACCTTATTAAAGTAAGTCACGTCTAGTTCCTTCGATTATCCTATGGGAAATCATGTAATTTAAACTTATTGCATTGTATTCCTTTTGCATTATTGATTCTACTCAGGCTGGTGCTATGCAAGCTTTGGCTCGGCATTTAAATTCAGATAGCAATCGCATAGTTATACATACTTTATGGACGATGAGAAATTTATCTGACGCAGCAACAAAAGTGGTAATGAATCTAGTAATTTAAATTTTGCGATAAGACTACCGTACCTTGTTGATCACACGCATTATCCTCCTTCGTACAAATTCTAAAGTTTCCGTATTTATATTTTAAGTTTCTTCAGCTTATGCAATAATAGAGAAGAATTCAATATTTTGGATAGGAGTATTTATAGACATTGTAGCATGTTAAGAATGAACACTGTACAGTATAATTGAACACTAACTATATGACATTGTGAGAAATAGATTTCTTACACAACGATGTATTGTATAAATAAGATTGAACGCTAATCTACTTGATTACTTAATAGGAAAATACATATATTTTAAGTTCCATATGTAATAGTGAAGAGTTAGATATTTTGAATAGGAATATTTTTAGACATTGTTATATTTTGAAAAATTAACATTGTGCCGTACAGTACAGTGTAATTGATCATTAACAGTGCTACATTAGGAGAAATAGATTTATTGCACAACTAGGATCTGTGTCAATAAGATTGAATGCTAATCCACTTAATTATTCAATAGGAAAATATAAATAATGCATTGGGAAGTCTAGTGCATCTGCTTAATTCCAATGAACCTTCAATAATTATGTGTATCGGTGGTATTATATCCAATCTAACATGTAACAACTCACAAAATAAGACTTACCTATGCAAAATTGGAGGAGTACAAGCGTTGTTAGATGTACTGTCAGCTTATAGTGATCGTGAAGACATCATTGAACCAGCGGTTAGTTTTCAATGTTACTTGATCATGATGATAACCATAAATAATGACTTGAAATGAAATAGAAAGCAGTTTTTTTAATAACTTGTACCAATATCTCATTTCACTAATAGAATAAACTATTTTAATTAGATCTGTGCTCTACGCCATTTAACCAATAAGCATCCGTATAGTGAGATTGCACAAAATAGTGTCCGAGATCATAAAGGCATTCCAATTGTAATAAATATCTTGAAGAATTGCAATAGTTTTGCAGTTCGTAAAGCTATCGTTGGCTTAATCCGCAACATTGCGCTGTGCCAATACAATATTCCTATCCTCTATGAATTCCATGGAATAAATAAATTAACTGACATTTTATTGGAAACATGTCAAGTTATGAATCAGAGATTAAGCAAACACTCAACAACTGAAATCGATGGGATCCGATTAGAAGATATTATTGAGAGTACTGTAGGTGCTCTGCATGTTGTTTCTAGGCATCCTCAATACCGTGCATTATTAACTGATTCAAAGTGTATACGAATATTTACGCAGGTATTGATGATTACAAATAGCTTTGTTGAAAGCAATTTCAAGACCTATAATAGATATGCAAAGACCAAAATGTTTAAGTGATATTCATAAACTGAAGTCCTGTTTACATTTATTTTTCTTCAGCTTCTACGCTCCAATTCGAACAGCATCGTATGCGTTGCTACTGGCGTACTATCTGAATTAGCTCAAGATAAAGAAGGTGCTCGAGCTATGCATTATCTGGGAACTCCTCAAATTTTGCAAAATCTTGCTTCACACAGAGACGAAGCCATTGGTAAATACAATATGAAGTAGTTAATCTTCTATTTGTAAATTCTACTCCAGACAGCTATAATGGAATATTTTCACTAACTTACATTTTTTGATCGGCAACTCTAGCAACTTTTGCAACGTCGGCCCTATACCGCATGTCTGAAGATAGAGGGTCGATAAATCGTCGACAAGGACCTTCAATAGATCTTAATGGATCCTTTACAGGGTCATTATCGAGAAGTGAGGTAAAGTTTATCCTTTTATAAATTATGTAATGCAAAAGGCTAAAATACACATAACTTGAATTGACGCAGTATTCGATAAATAGGCCATCGATTAAATTTCTTTATAATTACTCTTACCTTACATCATAAAATGCTTATTACTAGTAAATTAGTTCATTGATCAAGCAATAAATAAAATCTGAGATGATTGAGAAGAAATAGATTTGAATTAATTTTCGTCTTAGCTTTTGATTTTAAAATCTATTCTATGATAATTGTCGTGAAACATTTCAATATTCTAAACTTCGATTCTTTCTCCTACGAACAACTTCATAAAATGATGGTAAAATAGCGATTCGAATTAAATAACTCCATGAATTCTCGTTCACCAAGCTATCGTGAGGATGCTTATTCTCATCACAGCGGCATCATGAATATTAATGAAATGATGAATATGCAACCTGCTTTATCTAATGGAGGACAACAAGATATCAACATTAACGTACCTGTATCAGATGCTGGAGGTATCAGTTCTCCGCATATTAATGGTATGTATGAACAAATACAAAATCTGAGTTTAGATGCTGGAAGCAATTATGATGGCATCCCAGCAGAACAACAATCCATGCATTCCTATTATTCCAATCCTTCCCATCGAGGTCCAGTTAATCCTTCGATCCATTCCAACAACAGCGTGCAACACAATCCTCCGGAGAGTTATACTCCTACAAAATTCGCCACCGGAACAAACAATTCCAACTCTGTCGCATCATCAGCTCATCAAACACCAATATGGGACGAAAGTAATTCTTTCAGAATGGTTCAGGAATAGTTAAGGAATCCTACCTGTTATTAAAGTCTGCATTCATCTAATTTGGCTTGATTTCTGTTCTATCCCTTCGTTTGTTGTAGTATTACAAACTTCTACATAAAGATTTTTATCAGCGTATACATTATTAACGTCAAGGCTAGAATGATAAAAGGTGGAACTTTTTTATTGATCTATATTCCTCTAATACGCTGCTTTTTCGGTTTATACATTTCCGCTAAACGATTCAATCTCAGTTTTGGGCGAGATTTTTAAACTTCCAATTGTCTATTTCTATAAGCCTATATCCATCCAAAAGAATAATATCATGTATGAAATGAATTATCAACGACAATGTAGTCCTATCTTATTGGTCTTCAATCTCATTTCACTTGATGATTAAGATTTTCTATTAACTGGTGTGTTCTCTATCTGATAAGCTTCCAACGATAGAAGAATACCTTTCCCGTAAAAGCAGTTCTTACAGCGTCGTAGTTAATAACAGACTATTCTACCTTGTAGCCTGCCATGTAGTATTACAGGCAATAGTCACAAAATTTGGGATAGTCCAGTTGTTATGTAGCGATTGATATTAAAATGTTTTTTCTTTTGTATGAACTGAATGAACGATAGTAAAAACGATATCCAATGTTGTTTTTATAATTATCTTTAGATTTTGTTATGACGGATATAGAAAAGCTTATCTTTACTCTAATCCTATTTCTTAAAATTGCTATGCCTGGTCGTGTGTTGCTATGATAATTACATCATTATAAATTAATCTAGTAGAATAAATATAGCAAAATAGAGATCTTCATTTGTATTAGCTGCTTTTTAAATCGGTATACTGAGTATGGTAGCAATCCTAATCATGCGACATTAAACGGTAGCTTAAATCTTTATCATTAGCTATCATTAGATTCAATTTGCACATATTTCCTGATCCTTATGCTAATTAAAAATTTGATTTAATGATCTTTTAGCTTTTACAATTTTAGCTGTTAAAATTGTAATGAATTTATTAAAATTTGCTGTTGTGCAATGCTAGATTGGATATCTTGTTGTATAATATGGAATATAATATTATTTCTGTTTTTTCTTTATTTTTATCATCAATAGAATTGATTATAGTCCTTAATTATAAATTGATTTTAAAATTAAAAGCTCGTCGCTAATGATCTTCTAGTATTTTAAGCTAAGATAAAATTAGCCCGACGTTGAAAAATTTACGATGAAGATGCCCATCACTAATCGTAATGGACTAGATCATATGATGAACTGTTAAATATTCAACGACTATTTTCAGTCGTTGTGATCTTTTAAGCTTTCAAAAATGAATATCGTACAATGTTGCCTGTTCAATACTTTGGTCAATGATTGGTTATAATCATAACATTTTGCAGCCAGCGCTTTTCGAGTTATCGTTATAGTAAAATACTTTGTGCTAGTTTAGGTAAAGGAATTTTTATGACAATACTACGATATTTGGCTTTTTAACTTAGAGTATGTCAACTCTTATTTGAATTAATATTTAACATAATTATACAATTAATGGACAATTAATAAAAGTTTACGTGTAATTATTTCTTTATAAATAAAGCTACTTCGATATTTTAAATCAGAGTGGACTAATAATGATTTACTACGATAAGTGAAATAGTATCGTCTTGATTATTAATTCTTGCAGAGTGGTGTAAATTAGATATGATTCAAGAAATCTTAGGGATATGAATTGACATAATATTCTACCCTTGCTTATAGATTAAATCATGCATTCTATTATTAATGTTAGCGAAACTCTTTAAAGTCAGATCTTACACATTCGAAATTAATCAAGTCTCCCAGTGAAAATTAAACTTTCCACTATTCTAAAACGATAGTAGAACCAAATTAAACACGGAAGCATGAACTATTGGAAAGAGAAATTGATTATTTTATATGTATATTAGAAAGGAGAATACAAATATATAAGTATATGAATATAATTACAATGAAATACCGGCTCTCATGCTTGAATTTGATTCTATGCTATTGATAAGAATTACGCTAAATTTTGACAACTAATCAGTTCTTAAAAATAACTAGTACGGCACCATACTATATTTTATGGCGTTGTCTAATAAAAATGAGGTATGAGTTGATTTATGAGACTTTAAATTCAATCAGAATGATTGATGCTAACAAAATGAGAAACGATGATTTTAAGCTTATGACTAGCGATAAATTGGATAATATATTTAAGGTCATTTATAATTTAACATTAACAAATTTAGTGAAATGATATTTGGTTCTATAAGTTGATCAACGGATGGCATTGTTTATTCATCTAAAGGAAATTAATAACATAGGTGTAAAAAGCATTCATTAATTCTATAATGTACGAAATTTTAATCTCAAAGTATTGATATCATCGTTTTGTAAACCACTATATATAGTGATTAATTATAAATAATTTAGAACGTAGCCGACTTACATTGCATGTTTCAGAAGTATGCTTATTGATGCAGCCATAGATTGGTCCTAAATCGCATTTATTTGGCATCAGAGTGTTAATCTCGTTGGAAAATTGCGTATAAGCTCTAGCTTCTGAATCCTTGCAGGTGTTTACTAGTAACTAGTTATGATAAACATAAAATAGAAGCTGTCTTAGTGTGGTTCATGATGTAATGAAGCTTACTGTACCCGTATATAGGGCAATCATGTAGCACTGATAATTATAATAATTTAAATTTAAATTATCAGATATCCATAATTATCCAATTAGACATTAAAATCTGTCTCTAAATAGTTCTAACAACTTCATATTACGATATTGAAATTTCCATTATGGACCGTAATCAAATTAAAAATTTAGCAGTAGATAAAAGTATTTCTAGAACCTGCCTTGTGATTGAAGAGTTATGGTCGTATAAGTATACGGTATTACACAATCTATGACGCCTACATAAGTTGTAATAAACGAAACTGATATATCTCGAAGCAATGTAGCCCTAAAGCATATGACTTACACGACAGATTGTCCTTGGAGGTAATTTTTCGATAGTTTTTATGATACCGGGCATGTAGTTTCGAATAAAATCTATGCACTGAATATAGGTTATAACATCGAATGATTACACTTAAAAAATGAAAGTTTTCTTCAGTTTTCATTTTAGTCATATGAGTATAATTCATACAAAGGCCTTTAATAGCAGTAATACTAATAAAGTATGGCATACCAGCTTTTGAGCAGCATCGGTTAAACTCTCGCAAGCACGGTCAACGAGTACCTGTATTAGATTTTCCTATAGAGCAATAAATAAGTTTTGAACTTATTTAGTCCTTTCTCTATTAATATAATTTCAATTTGACATATTTGCAAAAAATCATCAATATCAGCATTGGTTAAGTCCTTTTAGAACTTACAAGTTCGCCTTTGCGTTCAAATAATGCTTCAACAACTGTAACAAAATATTCACAGTAGCCACATAGTGTAGCATTCTTTGAGCCAGGAAATGAAGGAACTGCGAAGATTTTAACAACAAAATAAATACGTCAACCCATATATTTTATTCAAAATTAGAACTTTACATAACCAATGAAATATGGCCCTATTTTCAATTTGGGCTAAGATAACTACAAGAAAGTTAACTAGCATTGACTAATAAAATTCGTTACTCACCAATAGGCAAAACACTTTGTGCTAAAGTCTTGCTAATCTTCGCTTCGTAGCATATCTGTTCAGTGGTAGCGCCAACATGAAGTAGTTCAATGATGCTCATAAAGTAATTTTGAGTAATAACTTGGCACTAAATTGATAAGTAGAAAGATTTTAGGATATTAAAAGATTGAATTCGATATCATTCTTCACCTGAATAATAATGATGACACATTATGATAAAAATGAAGCATTTTCTAGGCTAACCAGTCTTACCACTTCACGCGATTGTCCAGGAAGGATATTACATATTCTACGTGATTGCTCAATTATAAATTTCTAGTGTATGTGAAAGCATATAAAAGTTAAAATAGTTAAAACACCAGTCCATCACTATGCAATATTTAAATTGTAAAACTAAACTTAATTTTGAACCATACCTTGGTGAAGTTAAGATTCAATAGTCTTTTCACTTGTCGTGTTATATACAAGCAATGGAATGGTTGCTGTAGTTCCTATATAGAGTGAGTTGGCAATATAAAGTCTTAATTTTATCCATCCATTTTAACAGTAGATATCATGCTGTCTTAGATATATCCAGAAGCATTTTAAAGGAACGCATTAGGCTACTATAAATTACCAGCTGTTCATTGTTCGATGCCCTCCAAGCAAAGACTTGGCAATAGTCGACGGCATTGCATTGCATTGCAGTCTCAGCCGAGCTACACCAGTATGTTGCACCAGCAGAGCAACGGCTTACTCGATGTAGTGTAGCGCTTTTGCATTGCCCTGCAAAGGAAAATCAAGCAAATTTATTTATGTCAATAACATGAAAATAATAATAATAATAATAATAATGCTTTTATGTGATGTAATTCTTCTAATATGCTAATTATATTCTAATTCGATTTTTGCAAAATGTGGTTCCACATGAGCTAACTTGACCAGAACAAGAACGAAGCTAAAGTTGCAATCGATAGAATACTGATCTTTTCTGGTTACAACTAATATGTATCAAGCGTGTATAAGACATCGTCCAATTGGTAGAAATTACTACATGTGCATTTCGCTGGTGTTCTACGGTATATTTTATGGCATCGATTGACAGCTAGCTGTGAATCTATTTAGTACCACACTTGATTTGAGTAGAACAACCCTATCATGACCTCTACGACGAAATAGGCCTCTGGTGGAAAATTCTCTATTCGCCAACATGAATTCATCATAGCATTCAATAGAACAAACTAGCTCAAATCCATGCCATTTCTTTTCGTATTACAGAATTAAATAGGTGAAAAAAAAGCTCTATTTTGCAGCATGTTAAAAAATATTGCTATCCTGAGTAATTAATTATCTATGATTAATATCAATCGATGAGTTGAATGATGAAGAGCTGATTTTTAGCTCACCGATAGAGCAGCAGTAATAGAATGCCACCAGCACGATTATCAATCTCATCATCTTCAATTTTGAATTTTATCCAGGGGAAGTTAGATGAAAAATTCGGCAACTACTTTCAATACTTTGAAAACTTCCAAGTCGATCTGATCAAGGTGAAACCAACTGTCTCTAGCAACTGGCAGCTTACCACTCGCTATTTGATCGGATGAGATTATTTTGCTCGACTTTATGTAAGCGGTACTACCGATGCCTTTTAAATCAATCGATATTGTGATGATAATTGATTTTGTTCGGACAAACGGTAGGAGATACCAGATTTAGAGTACTAAGTACTGTGGCTAACGGTGCATTGCATGGGTAATATGTACAATATGTGTCTAGTTCTATCGTCTTGATTATACAGCACAGTATAGAGAAACAATACTGATGGATCTTCTACGATCGTCGTTGGATGATACCATTAAGAGGGGAAAAGACAGTAGACAGACTGAGCTCGCCAACTGACTTGAACACCAATACAGTGGATGTGCCCATGAACTTAGTACAGTGAATTAAACTACACAGTGGAAAGTATTGTAATCTAAAACCATTACGTAATGTTTTTCGACTCGGCGATCATCTTCAATAAACAAAGAGTCGCCCAGACGACTTTCGCATTGTGTATGATACCATATCGGGTACAATAGATACTTGTATCAGCTATCGTGGGCAAAATGGTTGTCTATGAGAATAGGATTAGTTTAAAATGAAAGGTGCATATACATATACAGTAGTAACGATAGAGAAAAAACGACTATCTTCTTCTAGTGCATCATACAACAAATTAAAGTACGCGCAATACACTAGAGATTGCAAGCAAGGCCGATTACCATAATCTACAGTTCATTTAATTAAAGGACAGCTCGTTTTTGCAACATGACGACGACAATAATAAATAGAAATTAATTTAAAGCTAACTCAGTCAAGTTGTTTATCCTTGCTTACTACCATTGGACAGAGTAGCTAACGATGCAATCAATATATTAAAAATAAACTGATGAAGTCATGCCATCACTATCTCCAACCGATGAAAAGATCGAATCGATTTCTTCCACCTGCATATTGTTCTTATGTTTACATCACGTGGTAGAATGCCTAATGTCAATAGAGCTACTCGCGAGCGATGACCTAATTTGGAAGTGTTATTTTGCAAGGATGGCAGTGAATGATATTCTTTATTTCAACAAAAACACCTTTAATTAATATCCATCAACAAAGCACTGCAGGCCCAGGTAGAACTTATTGTAAGTGTGGAGGGAATGTATATTTCGAAAACGTAATAGGCGGTAATAATATATATTTATCTCCACTAACCAACGATTGCGGTGATGGAATAGAGATGTTATTATTCTGCATGCATCGAAGGATGTCATAGTAGAGACTATTGGATTGAGCATTTCTCTGCTTTCATTGTATATTGAAACGATCTACGTAGGGTTGGCTACCATGATGCGATTGCCAAGGTTGGATATTGGCATGGGGTAGTATGGGTGGATACTACTATAAGACCATAACATAAAGTTGTTTATATACGTGTTTAGAAACGTTTAATGAAGTAGTTTACTTTTGAACTAGAGGGACGAGTTCCAATTTCACAGATAATCAAATAGAAATTGAGGAGTATACTCAATGTTGATCAACAGACAGAAACGCGTAAATTTAGATATAAGGGTATACTTTCGAATATTACTCAAGCCCAATAACAGATATTGTACTATATTAAGTAGTTATAAGTAGAAAATGGCTTCAAGCGAATCGAAAGATGTACGCATGAGTCGATTATATGACATCATTTTTATTTAATGAGTACAAAGTACATATCAATCATGAAATGATAAAAGGTATGTATATAAAATTAGATTATTACTGTACCTCAGTAATAGCAACTTTAGCTCTAAAAACTAATTTGATCTAGTTACGTAATATACTGTCAATAAAATTAATTAAACTACATTTGAACGTAATCATCAAAAAATTAGATACTGTAATCTCCAATAAAGCATGAGATACTCAAATCGATTTTGAGTAGGATGCTGAATATTGATGATCAGACACAAACGCGTAGATTTATAGATATTGGAGCACAGTATACTCTCGAATATTACAGGTATACAAAAACAGACGTTATATGCCCTGTACTAAGCAGGTATAAGTAGAAAATGACATCAAGCGAATCGATTATATAACATCATTGCCGTTTAATGAGTATAAAATACATAATATTACACATCAATCATGAAATGATGAAAGGAATGTACGCTTATATATATAATTAGATTATTACCTCAGCAACGGCAATTTTAGCTCTAAAAAATAATTTGATCAACATACGCAAGATACTATTAATAAATTAAGCTATGCTTGAATCCAATCCTGAAAAAATTGGAAACTGTAATCTCTAGGAAAGCAGTTTTATTGACCTACGTTATACGTTAGTATTCGTTCAAAACAAATCGAGATGGTAATAATCCAGATGATAATAAAGAATTGATAGCTTACATTATTTGCCCAGCAGGAATGCTTACTGCATATTACACAATCAAAGTAGTTTTAAAATACTGTTATCGTGTTTAAAATGTCAATAGTTGGATGCAACCACGACTACAGAAGCTTATGCCAGGCATACTACGATAAATTTTTTAAATTGTAATAATAATTCAATAATGTATACCTAGAAGATTAGAATAACATATCACAAAATTTAAATACCACGTCGTATTGATCAAAGTTTTACGAAGCATTCATCGTGTTATACCTTGCTCGACCAACCCGTTAAATCGATGATGTAATGTGAAAAAGTATAAGATCCATGATACACAGTTCAATCCCCATATAATGACTACATACGCGGATAGCATACTGCATTACTGTAATGATATATTGTAAATACATTAATCATGAAATTACGCTGTATAGCGAGCGTATAATACGCATCGTGACGCTGAAGGATTACCTATACTGTACTGTATGTCTATCACGTTATTTTAACTTTTCTTCTAGTATCTATATGAATATCCATATAAAATCATAATAATTTACCAAAGAATTAAACACTTCATCATGTTGATCTACCTTATAAAGCATCCATCGTGGCATATCTTGTATGGTCAATAGGTAAAATCGATGATGTATTGCTAAAAGCGTAAGGTTCATAATGTAAGCATTATTTTATCGCCATATGAGGGCGATACATGAAACTTAGCACCACATACATCAGCTACGGCACTGTATATGTAAATAATGATGATATCTATGTTGTTCAATTTTGCATACACATGTTTTAGCTATACGGTATAATTTTGTATTTCGATAAAATTATAGCATATAAGGTAAGATTAGCACGCACAATCAATTTTTTTTAAATTGCATGGCCGGTAATAATGCAATATCTGTGGCCATGGAGTTGTTATACCATGCTCCAGAACAAAATATAGTGCTCCGTTGATCATAGTTTGAGAAAGCGCCCATCGTGCAATATTACGAATGGCCCCATAGATTAAATCGATTATGTAATGCAAAAAATCGAGTCCCTGGTGTGCTAACTACATAAGAATCTACGATTTTCTGTATTAATAATATAATTGTAGTATGCATGTAGATACACAGTACATACAAGTATAATCACTCATTCCTTTTGAAACTAAGCAATCATGTAAAATTGGCCCTGTATTTATGGCATGACAAAAGTTTTAATCATGACCAAATAGAAGAACAGCCAAGGTAAGTAAGCCGATCATTAAAGTGAAATGTTGCACGTTTTCATAACTGATGTTACTGTAGACTGTCAGCTACTAGTATTGCTGTAATGCCGGTATTTATTAGTTCATGTTAGAGATCATCCTCCTCCTAGTTTATCTCACTACAGTGTGACATCATCATAACATCGAAAAGGGACGTAATATTGTATTTTTATCGTTGTTTGTTTTTTGTTACCACATTTATAAGTATGCAAATTATTTTATTAGTAAAAATGAGATAAATAGTAACTAAAACTATTTACGGCCTTAAGATGTTTTCATGCTACTGGTAGAATTCCATTCGAGGTTAATAAGCAGACCTGGAACTAGTCCTGTTTTCATAATGAGTAACTTGAAAACAAAGTATGAATTGCTCCAGATATTTTTAGTCGAAATTTTATGAATTATAACAGTTAAGGTACTGAATTTGATAAGAGTATGATTTAAGGAGCTAATAGCAAATAAAGTATAGAACTGCAGCATCCAACATTTATATTCAATTTGGGGTTGCTTATCTAGATGAGCTTTCTTGTCAATTGGCAAATAGCAAGAGATGAAAATTGATCAATAAGTAAAAAATTATAATGAGAGATTGCTTCTTTCGGTAGTCAAGGTTCAATAAAATAATCAAAAGTATGGTACTATGCCTTTCTTATCGAATTGGTTAACTAGTTGGTATCAATTAGATTATTAAATTGCGTTATTGACCTTTTACAGACATCTATTAAAGGTAGAGAATAGCTTTATTGTAGTCTAGCCGTAAGAAGTTAATTTCTAAATTGATTTTTATCATAATATCTCTTCTTAAATTCTCGTTCAAAAAGCACCGTTTCATCTAACAAGATTTAGAAACTATAGTTTATTAAATTGTTCTGTTAAAGTTTGAACTACCTGGTTGATAGTATAGTTGAAAATTTTACTGTTTTTCATTCTAGAGGATATTTTCTGATCGGCCTTCTAATAATAACGTTGCATCCTGACATTTCAGTCATCGATAAGGGTTTTAGCGATACATATCAATTTTAAGTAAATTTATCTTGGAACTATATTTTGATTTCAAGATTATCGCAGATTTGGTCATTAATATATCATATCTGCTAATCTTAACCAGATCAATGTTTATCATAACATATCTCAAACGGCGTTAAGACAAGACATAATCTTCTTAACTATCTTCCAGCCCTAATTAACATTGCAACGATGTTAAGGCAACACGTTTTACCCAGTTTAATTAAAAAGTCTAGAACATTTCTTTTATCCTTATGTAGACTAAACTAGAGTTTTCATTAGTTTTTCCTAAGAGTCCTAGCCAGGCGATGCTCTTTCATCTAAGAAAGGAAATAAAATGCTTTCCTTTGCAAGACTGCTACTATAAAGCGCCGGAGCTTCGGATAGATTAAAAGCAAAGTAAATAACATGAAATTTTGATATATATAACATTGCTCTGTGAATTCTTGGATTTAACAGCTATAAATTGGTCCCAAAACACACCCATTAGGCACAAGTTCATGAACACGATGCAACATTTGAAGGCTACTTTGTCCATCGTGACCATTACAAAGGCGAAAGGTTACAGTAGCTTTAATAAAATAAAATTTATCCGCTTGAGTCCCGGATTATCATTACTTGCGGCTATTATAATTGCAGCTTGCAATAATCACATGAAAAGCAAGCAACTACCAATTTAGAATATTCAATACTTAGGTACTAGGATATTTTCTAATGGAAAGGATAAGGGATGTTTTTTCATCAAAGGATTATAAGGTATAGCAATTGCATATGCACTGTAGCGTAGTCAAAGTAAGTGGAGTAGTAATTTGAACGAAACAGTATTGATCAAAATTAATTATAAAATAATCAGGCTATTGCATCTTTTTGACACAGCCATTTGTGCATATTAAATTCATTTTCGACGCAAAATTAATAAAGATTCTCGCGAAACATTGTGAAGCCTCTTTTTGGTATTAAATGGAATTAATGCAATATATCGTTTATTATAGAGCAAGAAAATCATCTTGCGGTAACATGATTGGATATAAATTTATCATTTACAGATTCTATGAAATTAAAGCTAAGAGATCAAACACGACAGTAATCACTAATTGAAACCAGGAATACAAAATTTTAGTTATCATAAAGGATGAGGAGATAAAAGCTGTAACTTAAATACTACTTTCGCTCTAAACACATATAGAAATGAAACGCTATCCAGTAAACAAACTGTAATCTTCTTATGCTACTGATATCACACTTTACTCTCTTATTTAATCCAAGCTGATAAATCTGCTATTAAGCGATGACTAAGATTTAAAATTTAATTTAACGTGGATGAAGTAGCATTGCATCCAATGCCTACTTGTTCATCAAGATGGTGTCGATATCAGGAGCTTAAGTAGGACGCTAGGAAAGGTTCACGGATAGTACGTTAAAATAAATTTACTTTTCCTATTTCTTGTAATCCTTTCAAGGGTATTCCGACTAAATCATATTTGATAGTGGTAATTTTCTAGTTCATTATTGACCACTGAGCATCTTACTGCACTGCTTTTTCATCTATAATCAGAATTAAAATATGCGAGTCTTGATTGATGAACCTTAAATTCCCATAACTTGATAGAAATCCGACATGATGATGACAAATCTCCAGAAATAAAATGTTAAAATTACTTTCCTTATACTTACATTACACCGTTCTGCAAATTCTTGATTATAACAGCCGTAGATGGATCCCAAAACGCATCGATCAGGAATTAATTGATCGATCTTGTTTAAGATATTAAAATGCTGTTGTCCTGACGGCCCAACGCAAACATTCAGAAATAACTATCATATCAATAGAAATTTCATTTAAAAATTATCCCAATTAACTCAATCAGTCTAACAGTAAAACTTACAAAGCAATCTACTCGTGGAGGTAAGTTGATAAAAGCTTCAATTAAATAAGCTAAGTCATTGTTGGCGAAATACAAACACTAAAATTTTCAAAATAGAAAGATTTAGTTTTAATTTTATCATTGCTAGGTACGACATTAGTAATGCAGTTCTATCACGATCAAATCATATCTAACTCATGGAGAAGCTCAAATATAAACAAGCATAAATATGGTTCAAATTTTCATTTTCCTATTAAGCTTTGCCGACCTCTTGATTTTCTGGTGGTGGTAAATCATTACAGACTTGCATTCTAAAAGAACTAATTAAGTTTTGCTGGATAGATAAAAAAGTAACTAGAAATTAGATTATTATCATTTTAGATGCTACCGTAATCAAAATTTTCCATTTAAATTGTTATAAAATTTATAAAACAATAAAAAATCACGCAGTAAAAGTATTTCTTATACAAATATCATTCAATAGGCGATTTCTTAGATAGTATGGTGAAATAATATACAAAAAATAATCATCATCAACAATCCAAACATAAATTATTCCCTTACAAATTCCTTTGGTTCTTGTAATTCTTGATCAATAAGGGCAAACAAGTATTCGCATAAACCACATATAGTACTGTTCATATCTCCAGGAAAGGGAGCAACTATATTAGAGCCATACAGTAATAACAGTTTTAGACAATTCGCTAACATTGCTTAGCCAAAAGCCAAGTTCCATTAGCAAAATTTGATCATTTAATAGCTCAGTTGCGTTAACCATCGGCCAATTTTATAAGTATTCCTTACTCGTTGGCATATCAGGTAGACTCAATTTTTTAGCTTGCGGCAGCAATTTTCTTGCCATGGTCAATTCACGACAAATTTGCTCAGGCTTTTCTCCTAGCTCGATATAAGCAAATATCCTTTCCAGAAAATGTCGAACCCTAACTTGACACTGCATTTTAGCAGCAGATGAAGGCTAAAAATTTCATTACAAAATCAAAAATTATTTTAGTACAGTTATCTATATATCCAGTGCAGCTAAATGTGCAAAAGTTTATCGAATTCAAATATACTCTATACCATGGAGCGAACGTTAGAGGATATTCTATTACATAGCTTGAAAGCTTGTTTTATAAAAAATTCCTGTTTTAAAAAGATAAAATAGGGACTTATTAGTGTTTTAATTGAGAAAATTATAGCAAGACTGTTTGGGCTCATTGTATAATATTCTCTTTAATCTAAACATAATCATAGTGTCTCAAATTAGAACAATTTCCTATAGTTGGAATCTTTACTTTGGTATTATTAAGGTGTAACCACTGTCGAATTATTCTTGTAGTAAATACGCAGGAAAATGGTTCCTGAAGATCCTATCACCGATATAATCGAATAAAATAAATTTTAATCGTCAATTAATAAATCTGTGTTAATTTATTATTTAAGTAGAATAGAATTCAAATGAAAGCTTTAATACTGAATTTAGATTTATTATTGAAAACTATGCTAGTTCCTTGAACATCATTTTTATAGCTTCAACAATTTATAATTTCAGGTATGCGTATATGTTATAAAATCTAGCATAGATATTAATAATACTACACGTAGGTAATTATCATTCAATTATTGACTTACTTTTAGCTTTTCAGGCAGTGGTGATGAAACATGATTGGCAGGTTTTATCATTTTCATTTCAACAGTTTTGCTATAGCCTTAAACGTCCAATCATACGTAAATTTAGTGTCATGCTAATTGAATAACTTTATTATAAATATCAAAATTGCAAAGCTACACAAATATTGTTATTAAAGCTATTTAATGAAACTCTTTCTACTCTTCTTTTAAAGAAATACAACTCAAATGGCATAATTGCAGTCTCCGATTCTAATATTCCGTGCAATATCTCATTAATATTGTAATAAAATCAATCTAAGTACAAAGTGGTTTTGCGGTAGCCCGAACATTCAACTGTAAACTAGCATCTCCTACTATAATAACCATAGTAACTTAAAAGGCCTATTTTCAAATAACAAATTGCAAGCGTCGATAAAGTATAGAGTAGCTACTCAATAACGGTTATTTAAGCTATTAATTATATCCTAATAATAAGTGCATAAACTCTTTCTGCTCCTCAACCTAATAATTTGTCAAAGACGAAATGGTCACCTAAATAAATCTCTTTGCTTTCATAACTGACTATGATTATGACCGAAATTAAGAAATATCGCAACAACATATGGGCTACTGCTGAATCTAACTCATGCAGATCATCTTCTAAAATTAAACAATATTATCTTCCTATATGGACAGGTATTGGTATAAGGTATTTGTATAGGATAGAGCTCTTCCAACTTTTAATAGCAAAATACTGCTACATGTTGTAAATGAAGCATATTCATCAAATCGCGATTCTCTTAGGTCAGCACGATCAAAAGATGGCTTAACTATGCAATAAGTAAGTATAATGCATCTATGAACTCTTGCTACCATCTATTCAGAAAAGATGCAATATGTTATGGAATCACTTAATAAGCGATTCCCAAGGATGATAAGCAATTTTTCCGTGAGCGACTAGTCAACAATTGAATGTCATGAAAGCTATAAAAATCACTTTATGTCGCCTCTCAAGCTTAATAAGCAATTTCTTCATGAGCAATTGTAGAATCAGCAATTAACTGCCACAATAGCTATAAAAACTAGATCGTTTAGACGATATCTACAACAGCTAAGACTTGATCAAATAATATGAGTAAGCTAAAGTTCTTCTATTGCAATTATAAGTGCATAGTTCAGAGAATTAAAATAGCACAGTAGTAGCTATCGCAGAAAACTTGGTTAAGATAGCAAACATCACAAGCTGTAAGCTAAATCGAACTTAATAAACTATTTTTTTACCTAGTTGGCATAGATAAAAGGCAATAAGTAATAAGATGAAAGCTTTCATTGTTCAGTTTTTTGGGGGAAAAAGTTACAATTAAGTCTATTAAAAATAATCAGTTGCTGGGAATGATCTTTCGGTCTTTATGAGCACTGATTCCTACTTTCACGAGTGTTATCTTATACTACCCCTGTAGATTGCACTAGTAATGATTTAAATAGTAGAGAAGCAAGCCTGTTGATAGTTTATTACCTTTACTTAATTGTTATGCATCGATGTAATCGTTACTCCCTTTTCTAATTACATTTGAAATAGTACAATGACTTTGTTATTATTATTAAAAGCTATGAAGATCTCATTATTTAGCTAATGAAAAGAATGAAAGAAATATGAATTATTCATGCTATCGGATGTTCATGTAGGTTAGAGTTCAGTGGAGGCTAACAGTAATGAAATGATAGAATCTATTAAATCACTAGTCAAGCAATTTAAAAGGAATCTGTATTGAAATACTGGAGGAACTAGCATTACGTCATAGTTCAGAGAGCATGGCGATAACTTGAACGGCTAAAAATTTGAACCTTCTTATGACTGCTTGAAAAGCCCCAAAATTCTCTCTGAATGTAAGAGGAATATTGCTAAGGTATTAGTTTACATCAGTTGTTCATTTCCAGTTATAGAGTGGTGCTATGGGATTAAATTATCGTCTTTACCACCATGACATTAACGACCATAATGTGACTTATAAATGACCCCTAGCATTCGAATAACGCAAACAACATTATTGAGCTCATTCCAAATTGTAAACATTAAGCATCTGAACTTTTACATTCAAGACTCAAATCTCTTATACGAGTATTCCCCTATATAGTTGCAAGTATAATATAAAAGCACATGTAAATCAAGCTATTTTTAGATCAATAAGGAAGTAGAACTGTTTTCATAACCTTCTACGGAATATCGATTCATGTTTATCTCAAAGGCGATAGCAGCCTGTTTACAGTATATCCTCTTAAATATCTATTCTTTCTTAAATTTACTTATTAATATAATAATTCAAACAAACTCATTCAATTCTGATTTAGACTATGTTAAAACTAATCCATCAGAAAAATTTTAATGCACTGGTATTCAAAAATTATTATCTAAGCTGTACAGTATTTCTGCCTAGAATAATTTTTCAATATTCTAGTAATTTCTTTTTTGACCTCATGTGCATCTACCGTGACCATATAGTCCAAATTATAGGCTGTAGTATACTTGGCAATGGTAACTAAAATTATTTATCGGTTATTTAGTAGCTACCTGATTAGCTAATTACATAGTTATATCGCAGTGTATTTTATCGCAGTATGTAAGTGGGCTCAAATACTGCAAAGCAGTGTTGTATTTCCACCAATGATAATTTTTTCACCTTTCTAAAAGCTACCATTTGGTATTGAAGTGGATAAAATCATATAGAGTGAGTCCATGCTAGTATAATTAATTCTGAAACTAGCTCACTCTACCCATGCTCCTGAATTCATTCTCAATTAATAGGTATTATGGTTTGAGTTGGTACCTGCGAATTTCATGTAAATTAAAATATAGACGCTATTACTGTTTATTACCTCATTACGGATGCATAAGACAAGTTAACAAAGATTGCAAGCTCATTATCTGGCATATTTACGAGATTATTGAATGAACAATGCCATTAGCTAGTATGTTCTCTTTTTGATTGTAACAATTTTAAGTCATTGCTAATTACTAGGTGGATATCGAAATGACGATATCAAGCGGCGTTTATTTCTAGATTCTTCGTTTATTTAGCATCCTCATAATTAGTACATGAGAATTTGTTAAAACTTAGGCCGGCACATATATACGTATATGTATAGTATTGTATACGTATAAAGCCTTTTTAAAAATACTTTGGTTTCTTATAATGAATTCTACTTGAAAACATTGAATATTAACCTTGGCAGTAACAATAGAAACTTCAAATGTTATCCTAATTTTGTAAATTTGTTACTGTTTCACTAACTTTCGATTCTATCACAAGTTCGATTTCAATTAGAACTTGTAGTAATCTGTATTACATTATTTTGTAGAGGATATATGTCAATTCTAATTGACATATAACAATTGTGACTATAAAGACGGCAATCATAACTACAGCTTCATTAAAGGAAGGCAATGTTTTTCGGACTGAAAAATAAAATTAAAAAATTGTATCAAAGGAAATATTGAGTTATCAAAATAGTCATAATACTTAATAACGATATTCCTACAATGATTATCGTCAGCACCTTGCTATATTATAAGACACAATTCCTACGATTGCTAACGGAGATGCACTTACGTTGCACTGTTGCATAGTTTTGTAATTAAGACAACCATAGACTGGTCCAAAGATACACTTATTAGGTATCAATTCATAGACTTTATTCAAAAATATGGCATTAGCTTCACTATTAGGACCGGTGCATGTATCTAAGATTATCTGAGAATAAACAGTAAGGATGAACTTAAGAATGCAAGCTTAAATACCAAAATTTGGCTAGGAAACGATATTATAATGATTATACGCGAGTATCACTCTTACTTTTTGATCAAGTGAAACTATTAAATCGTTATCATTCAGACACTAATCGCGAAATTAAATACTTACGAAGCAAAGGGTTCGAGGAGGTAAACTAGCGAGTGCTTTTAGAATATAGGGAAGAACCTCATTTGCAACATCAATACACTGCAAAAATATATTTAAGAATACATTGATTGATAATTCCGGTTAAACAAAGAGCATCTCTACGTGTTCATCATTGGAGTGATCCACGAGAAAGTTAATTTCGAATTATTTCCTGAATAATTAAAGCAATTTGCTAAATCCAACAAACCTTAGCTCTCATTTTTCCATCTAGCAGATTACAAACTGTTGTAATAAAGGTATTTTTAAGTATTTCCTGGGATATTCCGTGAGTTATAGCATTAAAGTTGTAAAAAAGTGCAGTGCTTAGTAATAACGTTTTTAGCAACGAATAGTATGTCATAATTATCTGAATTACTCGCAGTTTAAGAGTAGGAAGAAGCATATTTTGACTTATAATACGATCTTAGTAATTCATCAATAAAGATATATGTTACCACTAAAAATTTAATGAAATAATTTAACACTTTAAATTTGATATGAAACAGCAGTAGCGCTCGGAAATCACCTACTCTTTTAAACTGCCAGAACTACAGTATATGCGATTCAAACACACTATATAGATATAACTACAATAATTTCACTCGTAGAAATTGCTGTCGCGCTTTGGTTTGCTTAAGTTTTTCACATAATAAAATTACGCAAAGATCAGACCTACTGCAAATACGGCTTTGTGATAAAGTATCTTCAAAATATTAAAATAAGAACTAATATTTCTTGCAAAATTTCCTGTTTTATTACATAAGCCTGGTTCGTTTAACAACACTATTTGTCGTACTTACCACTTCGCTGGGATCGTTAAGAACTTTTTCGAAAATTGAAAAATACAGTTTGCATATGCTACAGTTTGTAAATCTCATAGCTATAAAAAGATAATTATAGAGTAGGCTTTAATCCATCCAATTTCGTACTATTAATATATTTGGTACATCTATCTAGGCTAATTTTTAGTAGATTGATGGCAATTATATAAATGAATGTTTTTGATTAAAGCGCGGATGTACAATAGTAAAACTATAGTATGCCAAATACAAAAGCTTTTCTTGTTCGCTTAATACTTAGATATTATCGAATGAAAGATAATCTTACGAGAAGAAAACTGAGCTTGATTCTTCAACGTGTTCTTATAACAGAAATCTTCAGCACTGCTAGCACTTTGCAGGGATATTATTAAATTCAAAGCGTATGATTCAATATTTTGATCGCACTAAGCGTTAATATGTCAAATAGAGAAACAAATGAGCTTCATTAATATCTATCCCAAATTAGTAATTGTATTTTTAATATTCTATTCACTAAAAGGCAGTTTTATTTAAATCAAGTGTGAGGGTAATGATTATTATCTACTTTACTTACATGTGATTTTAATTCTGTAGGAAGAGCTTGACACATATATTTAGCATTCTCGGCTAAATATTCCTTTAACGCAGAATTAAATGTACCTGATAAACTCATACGGTTTCTTAGAATATCTTAATCGAGGAAATGGAACTTTCACTTACCGCGGTGTATTTGTAGTTTAATAAATGCTTAAGATGCCTTGCAACGTATACGCAGAAGAAGGGTTCGGGTGTGTTCTTAAGTATATTTCGATACAATAACGTCAATTAGATAATTAATCAAGCAGCTAAGATGATAATAATCTTATTATGACAAAGTATAAGGTAATTGTAATTATCGCCCTTGTATTATCTAATCGCTACTATTGCAAATATTCACTTTATCTCAAAGTTGATGCTAATTGACAAATGAGTTTAGTCGTAGTCTATCCTATATCAAAATTACATTTACAGCATATGACTTAAAGCATCTCACACAATACGTATCTAACGAGTATATGTGTTATTATGCTTATTAGCCGAGATCGAGTTTTAGCGGTACCATATACATTGGAAGAAATTGATTTTGTACGACTCATTTTAATCTAGTTGTTGCTATTTGTCAAGATTAGTATGGTTACACCATTATTATAACTTTATTCAAACCTGCAAATTGAGATTGCGTTCAGCAACATTGGAGGCGGCAACGTTGTGGAAGTTACCTACTGTAGAGTTGAGTTAATGTTACAAATCCCATGATCATTAATGGCATTGTGAATGCTCAAAGTTGTAACAAAGCTGGTTATCTGAACAAGAATGATATCAAGTTATGAAGGGATTGTACCTGCGCCGAGCATAGCGTAAACCACAAATAATAAATAGATCGATGCTGTAGCCATATTTGCCGTAGATGAGCCCAAATAATGATTGATATGGATTGGCAGCGATCGAGGCTAGGAAATGTTGCTAGGGAAATTTTTCACTTGGTAGAGTAATTGCTGCTAGCCAGTAGACTAGGAATAGCGATCCAACTTGAGAAAGCCTTTTGATGGAGGTTTCGGAAACTTAATTAGCCCGATTAAGGATGGCGATGACGTCATGCACCGTCCCGTTACCATACTGTAACTGACGCCAGTACGGTAAGTCGGTTTATCGTATGGAAGTTTGACCTGGGCCTGGGCGTAAGTTGCAAAAAGAGGGAGGGACGGAGAAACGGACGAGGCCTTAACCAAAGCAGGCTGACCTTTTAGTACGGTAGTTTAATGTACTGCACAATACAGTACTGTACTGCACGGTCAGTACTGTACGTTGATCGTATAGAAGTTTGACCTTGGCCTGGGCGGAAGTTGCCAAAAGAGGGAAGGACGGAGAAACGGACGAGGCCACACCAAAATAGGCTGACCTTTTAGTACGGCACTTTCAGTACGGTAGTCCAATGTACGGTACAGTACGCTTATGGTATGAAAGTTTGACTTGGGCCTGCGCAGAAGCTACGAAGGGGGGGAGGGACGGAGAAACGGATGAGGCCACACCAAAGTAGGCAGGCCTTTTACCTTTTTTACTGGTCATTTGACTGTACCCTACCGCAGTACATTTGTAGCCGTATAGACCTACTGTACTGTAAAGTGTACAGCATTAGAGGCAAGGGCTAGTCAAGGAGAAAGGGACGGGAAATGGTCGCTCCCTCTAGTCAATATGTGATCAATAAATTATCTTTACTGATTATTTTAACGGTATCGCGTGTCTACAATGGTATACTATAGTATCCACGATGGATATCCAACTTAGCTGCAAGGATAGTTTGATGCAGTTTCTGCAGTTTGCTACAGTACAATCATGGAATCAAATCATGGACTGCTGTATTCATGCATAAATAACAACTTGAAAACTTGAAAAGTACATTATCCCTGTAACGAGATCAAGAATCTGAGATTTTGAGCTTTCCTTTCTTTTAGTCTACTTTTTTTGGAAGCCCAAGCCAAGCGCGATATCATACCCACATTAACGAGACATAAAGAACTGTGACAACAAATCAGCTCTAGTGCGAACATAACTTGAATACCATATCCTAATGGACGTAAACATTTCTAGCATGTGATCTTAATCTAGTAACAGTAGATAAAGGCGTAGATAAGCCGTAAATAGTATTGTACGATATCTGGGATTGGCCATGTTCTATGTTGCGTACTCTACAAGGTAACAAGCAGTAGTTTACAGGACAGGCGATGTCGACAAATTCCCTTGCAATGACCTCGGTGGATGAGAGCTTCTAGCGACAAAGAATAAAACCGGTATGTTGGTTAGGGTTTTTCTTTTGCCCACAAAACATACCGGTTTTTCTTTTGCCCTACTACTCTATACTAGTTATACAGTACTATTTGCAGTGAAATTCTGATGCAAATAAAGAAGGTAAATAAAGAAAATTTTCTTGACTGCGTCAGATCATTACGTTGAGTACCACTCTGTAGCCTTAGCATAGTGACATCACTTTTGCTACTGTTTTGCACTACGTGTACTACAGTACAGTCGCACTCGTGACGATTCTTTGCAGTGCTTATTGTCTATACGGTACTGTACTGTACTCCACTTGTTCACAATCCAATAGAGGTGAATTCTATACAATGAAAACTACTGTAGCAAAAGTAATGTCACCATAGTCCGTTCAACGTCTAGGGTGCTGCTAGTCCTGTCCGGTCCAGGGCTGCCTACGCACAGATTGTACTGTACACCTTCAAGCTGACGCAATATTATTCTTTGTCTACGTGACGTTTTGGTCGGAAACGGGGGAAGCTATTTCCAGGAGCCAACAGCCATTTTTTCACGACCAACTAAGGGGCAAATCCTTTCCTCCAACGTTAATTAGGAGGAGGTCTTGCACAGATTAAAACTTGATATTAATTATTAACAAAGTGTGGATAAATAATACTGTAGAGACAGCTCAGTGTGGAAGGAGTTGCTAGCGTCTCTACTAATGCTAACCTTGCTTGAAAATGAGTTACAACAACGAACCCAAACGACGACCAGATTTTACAGTCAATCAACAGCAGCCATTCAATGCTGAACCACCTTGTGATGCCTTAATTCGGAATTATGTCACACCTAACGACTATTTCTACGTACGAAATCATGCCCCAGTACCTTCTCTACCAGGAGAATCTTACCGGTAAGAATTCATGGGATATTGTACAAGTTAGGAGACTATCTTTCACCCGATCTGCAGCGCCAGGCACAAATCGATGGCTTCGATGCAGGCGAGCTCTATTCAGCCTCTACTGCCGATCACTATCGACGAGTAGAAAGCTATCCAAATCTGTTAAGGTTATAATTTGTCCATCATTTATGTTCGAGAAAAGGAAGGATTGACTAAAACATCATAAATGATGCAAGCCTTGAATTGACACTACTTTATATGTGTTTTCATCTTTCTGGATGGACATAAACACAGCGACGTATCTGACTTATTCTATGCCTGACAGACAGCAACTTTTGCATACCTTAAAACGGATAAAATGAGGACAGTAGTCTAAATTTTATAGACAATCAGTTTATAACTGTAATTCCTACATAATTGACTTAAGGGAAAACGAATGATTTATTGGAAAATCAGAAATGAAGCAACTCTTTAATGGACGCTGCTTTATGTGTACTATCGTGTACATCTGTCTTTCATCGTTCTTAGTTAACGTAGAGAAACTCAACGATCTTCTACTGTAGCCTAACCCTAACTCATCAAGGCAGCAACTTTGGCTTACCCTACTGATTTAAAAGTGATAAAAGGATGATCGTGATCCCTATTTTAGTTTGTATATCGCTTATTCTCAGTGGCTCTGCTACAAAAATTACAATACTGTAGTTTAAGTATAAGTTCTACGCTTTCATTCTGGACATGCCAAACATAAGAAAGTGATCATGTTGATGCATAAATAGCAATAGTAAATATAGGAATCGCCATCATCAATAATCTATTGCATAATTAATACCCGGTGCGAGGATACCATTTAGTAAAGACATGTTAATTTCCGGGACCAAGTATTCAATAGCTGCTCAGAAACTACATTAACCAGTTATATGCGTACAGTAGTTGATGTAATCATTAACCTTGCAAATATTAATAAGTTGATTGCATTATAGTTAGCGTATTGTGAGATTATGATACTTCCAATGTACTGAAATTTAAAATCATACATATTCGTAAATTAAATATAAATTGAAGACCAATCAATCTATAAACAATATAGTCGATTCAACTAGAATACAGTCTCACAAACTCTGTTATTAATAAATAATTTGCTGCTATACACGGATTCTACATCACCAGTAGTCCCATCGAAAATAGTACATTGAATTAAAGTCTAATAAATATCCTTTAAATTTATATTCTTACAGGTTAATGATTGGTGGCGACGTTCCACAGCCTATTAGTCTTTCATTATCAGAATTAAAATCTCAATTCCCAAAAGTTCAGGTCATGGCAACTTTAATGGTAAGTTAATCTACGTTGATAAAGTTCCTAGTATGTCACTTGCACCTTGAAAGCAATTGTTGAAATCTTCAGAATTCCGCTTAATGGTTGATAGCCGTAGACGTGTATAATTATTAATTATTCATAGTAAAGCAATCTATCAAACGGGACGCCTAACAGGGTATTGTCTATATTGCAACATAGTGCGCTGGCAATAGAAGAGATGAACTCAATAAAATCAAAACTGTTAAGGTAAAAAATCACGGAATTAATAAACTGTAGCCAAAGCAATCATTGACCTTTTATACGGCTACTTACGTAATTGTAGAATATATACATACATGCTAGCACGGACAGAAGCTGATATTTAATTTAAAACGTCCGGTATACCTACAGTACTTAATGAACTTCTTACCTATAGGGTGTAACATGGGGACCGGCTGCAATTAGCAATGGCATTTGGGGCGGTGTACCCCTACGTTTGGTCTTACATGCGGCTGGAATTATCGAGGTTAGATACTACTGTTGCTATTGGCTTTACCAGTATTAGCCTACTAAGAACATTCTTGATGAATGGACATGTTAATTAATTAATTCATTGCTATGCGTAGTCCAATTTTAGGCAATATCACGTCTGCTTTGAGGGATTTGATATTTGCAAAGACAATACTGGATATGGATCTTCGATACCGATACCAAAGGCCATGTAAATAAATTAAAATAACCCCGTTGTTTCATACTTTAACCGTATTACCAACCTTTAAACTTATATGGTTGCATTTCAACCTGCTTAGGGATCCGCAAGGAGATGTGTTGCTCGCTTACGAGGTTCATCATGTTACAATTTTCTTTCGTCTTACACTTTTTGTCGGTGAAACTAACCTTTGTTTATTGTCCAAATGACTTACCTGTGACAGATGAATGGAGAAGAATTACCAAGAGATCATGGCTATCCTCTACGGGTAGTAGTTCCAGGATATATCGGCGCAAGGTTAGCATCTTTTATGCTCGCATGTCTAATAGCTTACTGTAAGTAGCGTTTTCATTGAATGTCACTTAGAGTTGGCTATTAATTTCTTTATTTCCCAGGAGTGTCAAATGGTTAAAATCTATTGTCGTGCAAAAGGAAGAATCTACAAATTATTTTCAACGCCGAGATTACAAACTATTTCTTCCACAAGTATGCTGCGTATACATATTAATAACCATTATGTTTGAAGAAAAACTTTGTTAATATAGCGTCGCAAACTTAAATAATCATTTTAGGTAAACTGGGATAACGTTGATCAATGGTGGGATAAGAGTCCTCCAATTCAGGAGTTGTCTGTTCAGGCTGCTATTCTAGAACCAAAGAATGGAGCAGCTATAGATACCGGTAGCCCATACGCTATTAAGGGCTATGCATTATCTAATGGGCACAGGTTAGCCAGAAATTATTCAAACGCCTGCTATAGTTTCAAATACCCACAATATTGTACAATATTTATGATCATGTACCTCGATCATAACGTAGTACATTTTCTTAATAGTGTTTTTGAACTTTTGAAGACTGTAAATGATTGCATGTATAATTTTAAATGATAAGTTGAACTTTCCACGTTCAATATCTGATAGGATTGCCAGAGTGGACGTCTCTTTAGACAACGGCGTTACGTGGGAGCCTGCCACAACGATAAATGGTGAAATAAAGGATAATACTAATAGATATTGGAGTTGGTTTCTTTGGACATACACCGTTAGATCTATGCCTTCCCCATGCCGTATCGTCTGTCGAGCGTGTAAGTTCACTCATATCAAGATACTGTAGTTCTAAAATACGTTCACTTTAATAAGACAATAATTTACAATCAATCTAATCGATTAATTTTAGGGGACTATGCATCAAATAGCATGCCTGGAGATGCACCTTCAATATGGAATTTGCGTGGAGTCATGAATAATAGTTGGCATCGAATCGACGTTGTGAGTAAAAGCAAAATTTAGTGAAGCAAAGTGTCATCGATGCTGATTATTACTACTCTTGATTGCGATTTAGTAAGTGAAGTATAGCATCTACGTCTTGTGTTGACAAGATTTACTTGATAAACAACGCTTTTCTTATGACAAAAATGACTTACTATTGGCGCGAAAAATCATACAATTTTTTGTAGTAATTAATAGCTATATTGTCATCTATTTGACGTACGCTTGATGAGCTTCTTGGAGTAGAAGGAAATATCGTATTTGCCAATTCATCTTGTAAAATGGATGCTTGCAAGAACATTTAAATTGTGATATTACTCTTAAAATTTAATGCTGTTTCTTTTATTGATGTAATAAATAAAATTATATCAAACTGCAATAAATTTGTGTAATTTCTCGAAAGATGAATATTTGAACAGGAATAGAAGCCAAGAGTAAATAAAAATTCATTAAGTTATGATGTACTAAACTATAGGGGAATGACACTGCATCATCTTATGATACAAAATTTGGTTTAAGATAAAAAAGTATTTACAAAAGACTTATAGTAGAATTTCAATCTAGATTTTACGTTGTGGCTACTACATAAGGGAAAGGGATATCACGGCAGACGGTAGCAATTATAAGTATAAATACGAGTATACAGTACCATAGGAAAAAATTTTTAAATTGTATCTCGTATTCAAGTTACCAAATTATCACAAATATGCAGCCATATATGTACCTACTCTATGTTGAATAATTTCTTCTCACTTGCATACAAATATTGTATGTGCATAAGGCAACTAACACATCGTGTTATTTTCAAAATTATTCAGTCACTATACAACTATAAACCATACTTTTTTCGTAGTTTGACTAAATCATCTTCATTGAAAGTTATGCTTTGGATATCTTGATTGGAAAGGCTATCCTTTAATTTAACTAATAGCTCTGTAGACTAAAATTAGAAAAGTAATACATTAGCTTTGAAAGAAAATTTGAAATTGACTCGAAATCTTAATAAATAGTGATAGCCTATCACTACTTTAGAAAATTGATATTAATTATGATGTTATAACCAGCTATTTTTAATGTTTTTATAGGATCCATTATTATAATATTGCAACACTTTACATCTATACTATCCGTCAACTTACACATGCTTTTTCTTGCTTTCCAAAGAACATGATTGTTAAACTGAATCGGTCAGATTTAGTTATACAATATAGCATATGATAAATTACTTGAGCATCAGCTGGTTGATAGCACTAACATTATGTAAAGATGAAATTTCTGTTAGAGCCTTCAAATTCATACCTTACGAGCATGTTAACACTTTCTGCTACTACCGAATGTTTGCCATTGCAGTGAAATATAATGTTTAAATTATTATGCAATAAAGTTTACTACAACTAGGTATCACGTATTAATATAAATCATACGTTATATCATTAAAATAAAGCATCGTATATCCTACTGACCTCATGGAGGACTTGTAATAACCCTTCTAAGTTACTAACATGTAAAAGATTTTTATCAGTATCCGTTACATAAACTGTACGATTACAATTTATATACGAAGCTTTTTTTCATATTAGAGAACGGCTAACAGTAGCAAATTGTTATTCATTCGAAATTTATCTACCTGACTTCCGTTTTATATAGTTGATATAATCTTTCTCCTCCTAGCCTACAAAGAAATCTAAATGAAATTGAACGTAGTATAATTATTTAAATAAAAATTTTGATAAAGGCATACAATATTAAAATACTATAAAGTTATGTAATTGCACAATACTACAGTCTCAGTTGATAAAAATGATAACCAACTTATATCTCTCATGGTTTGACTGGAGTTGTTTCCACCGCCTTTCAAATTCAACCGCCGTTTTAACGTTCCAATCTTGTTCATTACTGCTTGGGATACTTGCAGCTATTTCTGCTGCGTCCTGATCATTTTTACTAGCTGCAGCATTCCAAGTCTGAGTTATTCTTTCGTTAGTTATTAATCCTTCTTTGCGATCTAAAGGCCGAAGATGAGATGCAGCCACAATTCCTCTACAATGACAAGGTATATAAAATGTTTTGTAACCATATTCAAGCTGATTCATTCTTGCAATTCAAAGAAAGTCAAAGTTACACATTTAAAGCCAAAGCTAACTAGATCGATATATCCATTTAATCTCATATTTACGTGCTTAAATTATTACATAACGACAGAAGGAAGTCAATTTTAGACATAGTAAGACCCGAAACGAATATGGATAACTTACCCTAAATACGGTAGCCTGGGCTAAAATTATTACATTCTTACTAATAGAAGGAAAAATAGATCGATGCATCTCAACGCCCAAAACGAAATGAATTAATCTATCCATTTAATTTCCTGTATTAACACTTTCAACAAGATTATAAACTAAGACGTAAAATATTTATTTGCCCTTTACTTCTGTCTACTTCAATAATATAGGAAACTCTAATGGTCAAAGATAAGATTATTCCGGTCTTCTTTAATCAGTCCTATGGTACTCGTGTATCTCACTTTCATTTTTTATACCCGTGTGAAATAATTTGATTTCTATCATTATTTAATATTCACAACTTTAAATTATTTCAATTTCCTTTACTAATAATCTAGTAAATTATAGCAGTTATTATAAATGAAATTAATGGTCTTTAACAAGCTGTATACTTTTAGAACTGATTCGATTTCCTTTACATTGAATAATTAAATCCTGATGATATTTGATTAATATCGAGATACCACTTTGAGCTCTGATAGCTACCTATATAAGTACTTAACTAATTGCACCAAATAATAAGAAAATTTCTTACTTAAATTCTTCATAGGTTCCAACACGTTGTCCAACAGCTCTAATTTTAGCATCATTCTCTCGCCAATATTTCTTATCAGCCTCGAGTGCATTGGATAATTCTTTTTCTAATTTTGCAAAATCGATCTCATCTCGATCACTGTGAGCCATATTAAGGCTATCACTATTGCGCTTCTATTATATTCTATTCGCAGAATCGTCAAGGAAGCGATAAAGATGTTTCTATTTTCAAATCTAAATACGAATATATACGGTGTAGAGGTAATCATTGTTGCTATGACAGCAACGTTTGTATCTTTCTGGGATACGCCTGTTTGACTAGCCTACTTGTATCCTACTGAAACTAGACTATTTATTATAGAATTTTGGTTACAATACTATGCTAATGATGTTATTGTAAGATAGAAGTATGCTATTACCGCAATCCTGCAAATCGGCTTTACTATCTCGCAAAGTTCAAATCAATATCACTCTCATACTTATATGATAGTGATCTTAAATGCCTAACAAAGCTGTAATCAACTTAAATGTAAATGCTAACATGCCCACTCTTTATCTTGACTTTGGATAAATCAATCCTAGACAATAATGACAATAGATATGATAATTCTTCTGCTTGCTTCCACGAATTAGACTGCAAGAATATTTTTCCTATATAATACTATATCTCTATTTCTACTATACTACCAATTATATTATTCATGTTCAAATTTTACTGAGTCAATTATCTGTTTTGCGATATATATGATAATCCAATCACCCAGTTTGATTTAAAAAAGAAATTATAAAACTTAATTCTGCAAAGCATCATTCTTAATCACAGCTAACTTTGAAATTATATCAAATAACGGCATTCTCATTCCTGCTTTATAATTTTTTATATTTAAAAATACGTAAAAATTATAGGAATAAAATATCAAAAGTAGGTCAAGGCGATATGATAAAATTCCAGTATTAGTATTACATCGCGCATTTAATACTGTAATGATTGTTATGATATTTGCAAGTAGAGTATGAAATTTATTTTGGATAGAAATTGAAAAGCTCCATTGTATTAAATAATATATGAAACAGTCCTGTAGCGAATGCTTAAATTTACTTGTATAGCAAAGTAAAAGACGCCTGCACGACTGTAACATCTTATACTCGTAGAGTACAACACACGCTCGAATACTGTTAATATTATTCAGTAATCCATATAAATGGTATTTTCCAGTTTTACTTTTAATATTTGGGCGTAAATATTCGTAAAAAACTACCGATTTAAAAATACACAAAGCAGGGCAAGATAATAGGCTAAGATCTGTAACGGTTATCAACATACTCTAAATTTTGTTAATCCCTTAAAAGATCAGTTTATGCAAGCTCTCGCGTATTATAAGCCTGTAAGAACTCACTTTATGCCTTTTGAAGTTACATTAGTGAGGGAAAGCATGGTGTAGGATTCAGGTAATTTTGAAGCTTTTATTATGGCCTAACACTAGAGCTGATTTAAATTAAATCAGATAAGTGATAAAAGTTTAGCAGAGTCATTGCTACAAGATATCTTTATTGTGGTACATGAAGATGTGGACAAAAAGTTGATTTAAAGTAAGCAAAAATCATCAGTATTATCAAGCTATGCCGTATTCCATTAAAACATCAATAGTACCGTAACTTAAGCACGCACAATTCGACATTCAAAAAAATAAATCAAGTGTAAGGCTTACCTTTATAGTTAATTGTAAACTACGAATATACGGCAACTATTGAGTAAATTTTGAAGAATTAGCCTAATATTTGCTATGAGCAACATATTAATTGAAATTAAGGAGTAATCCAAACATTATTATTATCACGAAATATTGTAAAATGGAAAATATGAAATTGCTTTATCCCTGATCTTTGTATGCATTGGTTTCTTAGTAGGTAGAAGTTTCAGTTTCTTCAGCGATCGGATCAAGTTCAGGTCTTACTGATAATTTAGATTGCTTTAATAACATGGGAATGGACGACTTTCTATCTTTCATTTCATTATCTTTTAACTTTATTGTATTTCCTAATTTAATCATCCTATTAACCTTTCGTATACTGCACCACAGGACAATTCCAATCGTAAATAGGATAAAAACGGCAACAGACAATGAGGCGAAAGTGGCAATCTCGTCTGTAGTATAGCTATTGCGCGCGATTACCTTCTCGCATCGTTTTCCGGTAAAACCTTGTTGACAAAAACAGGCTACTTTTTCTTTATAAATAGAACAAGCTGCACCATTATAACATGTGCATGAAATATCTGCTACTGATGAGAATGTAGGCAACATCAGGTAAAAGAATTTACGCTTGAAATATTCCTTGAAAGCAAAGGAAAAAATTGACGAGCCAGTACAAAAGAATAGAGCTTAATTCCTTGTATGATCTGCAGTAAATCGTTACTAATCGTATAGATGTTATTCGCTAGTTTTACTGATCATAGAAATTATTCCAGTAACTATCGTGACCAACCAGGATCAAAAGGAATTTTTCTTGTATTTGATGCCTCAGCTAATAATTTCTGAAGAATTTCGTACTACCTAAATATGAAAAAATGATAATAAGCTGTCGAGTCATCCATGTCTTTTATATACTCGTGTCCTCAATGTTGATTATCCGATGGAAAGACTGCATATTCCATTTTTGTCTATATTTGAAATTGAAATTATCATGTGATAGAAATGAGATTTTAACGTTTTCCCATTTATGACGATTTCATTACTTATTACTGTATATCGTGCATACACCAGTGCTGATGACTTAAGTTATTGGTTTTTATAGATTCTTTAATACGAATTAGCAAACGACGCACTTTTGCAATTTGAATGTCATCGAGTTATCGTCGTGGTGATTGTAATAATTAGCAATTAAAGCCTATGATAAAGCAACATGATTTAATACCGTATCATAAATGGTTCATGATTTTGCGTATGGGATTTTATGCATCATAAATGCCGATGAAGGTATGTAAAATTGCTTCTCAAATAAAATGTAGATTAACGAATTGCTGTGGTGATACAAATCAGATTCGTAAATTATACAGTTTTATAGCTCTAAGATCATTCAATTGCTATCGCAATCGCAAATGAAACGCAGAATACTAAATGATACTTAAAAGTTTTATTCTGATTCCCAGTCAATTAGTGCCATTAAATGTTATAGCTTTGCTAATATAATACAGTAGTATAAAATCTAATAGCATTTATAATAGAAATGGAAGGCGTAGTATTCAATCTTTCGTTCTGATTCAATGAGGATTAATAAATCCTGCATTTTGTATATCAAATACTGTCCAATAACAACATTCATTATAGGAATGAGAAGTATTCGAATTTTATTCTGAATTAACGTAAATAAGTTAATACTACCGTACTATTTGTAAATCAGGAATTTTTGGGTAATTGTCGAAATTAAGCTATTTGTCGAATACGGTATAACTCAGTGAAAAGAAATTTGATTTTATAATTTATAAACAAAGTGTATCCTTCGTCTATTGGAAAGTTATCAATAAGTACGTTACTATAATAAATGCTGTGGATATTTGCTCGTAAAGACAGATGGTGGGCACTTGATATCGTGTCTATAGCGCTGGTAGTTTTTGAAAACTGATGTCGATTATGTTATTGCATTCTTTCATTTTATCTCTATCGTTATTCGACAAACATAAGCTAAAGATTCTGTAATAATTTCAATATGAAAATAAAAATATCTTCATCAAGTACGGTGATCTCATATTGACTGTATTACCTTCAATTGTATATCCAATTACTGTACTGTATACTCATATGTCCCTTATAGAAACAAGTCATTCGAGCTTAGAGCTAAAATTGATTCTGAATAGTACTGAAAAAGAGCTTTCCTAGAATTTCTTGTAGTTGCAATCTATTTTTATCTAATTCGGATCTACCAATGTTGGCAGTGGAACTATTGATAACAGTCAGGGGTACATCCAATATTATTGTACGTCCTTGGTTTAGTATAAGAATTAAAATTACTTTGAGATAATCTTTAAAATAAAGACCTGACAACAACTCATGTAATTGATTCATTTCTATACTGACGATTTTAGCTATCCATTGCAATGAGTAGGTTATTGTAACTCTATACGGACAAGGTCAAGTACTGTTGAATGTCCACAATTTATTTCTGTAGTCAAAATGAAACTTTTTAATGTTTCTCGTGCAGAAATCACGGAAATGATATTTACATATTTATATGTACAAATAGTATTTTGTGGGGTATTAAATTACATATAGCTACTTATGTTAATAATGTAGTAACCTGATCACATCGTTTCGTTCGGCCTATAGTACTCTCTATACTCTAACTATAGCCTCTATTTTGTGGTGTATTAAATTATAATATATACCTACTTATGTTCATAATGTAGTGATCACATCGTTTCGTTTGGCCTACAGTATGACATTATGATGACATGCTGTACTATGCGTAATACTAGGGATTGCAAGGGTGGAAACGACAGTAGTTTCTATTAGGTGCTTGAGGTACAGAATTTCTTAATGCTTGTAGAATCTACGTATAATTCCATGACTTCTATTTGCTGTAATCCACGTTCTACCATAGTAGTCCATGACTCATAACTATTTTGTGGTGTATTAAACTCATAATGTAGTGATCACATCGTTTCGTTTGGCCTACAGTATGACATTATGATGACATGCTGTACTATGAGTAATACTAGGGATTGCAAGGGTGGAAACGACAGTAGCTTCTATTAGGTGCTTGGGGCACAGAATTTCTCAATGCTTGTAGAATCTACGTATAATTCCATGACTTCTATTTGCTGTAATCCACGTTCTACCATAGTAGTCCATGACTCATAACTATTTTGTGGTGTATTAAACTCATAATGTAGTGATCACATCGTTTCGTTTGGCCTACAGCATGACCTTATGATGACATGCTGTACTATGCAGAACAGTAGAGATTGCAAGGGCAAAAATGACAGTAGCTTCTATTAGGTGCTTGATGTACGGAATTTCTCGATGCTTGTAGAATCTACGGACAAGTCCATGCCTTATTTACTGCAGTCCATGTTCTACCATAGTAGTGTATGACTCATATCACTAAGTTAACACGATGACATCATTTCGTCTTTTTTAGACAATCTGCCAGCGAATATACAGTACAGACGGATAGCCAGACCATCCATCGCATAGCCAGACCATCCATCGCATAGAGTAAACTCTATGACCAATGGAAAGGTTTCCGACTAGTACAGTACAGTACAATGTACTGTACGGTACAAGCAGGACAGTGAAGTACAGTACTGTAATTATGTACAGTACAGCACTACTGTACAGTGTACAGTACCTTAATCAATCTTCCCGGTGTTGAGTGTATGGTAGCTGTAACGTAGACTCATACACGTTGGCACTTAGTATTTAGCATCATCATCGTTGTTTCATCATTTTTGAGCGATTTGCAAGGCTTATTGCAGTCCTAGTTGGCTTTTAAAACCTATACAAATTGTTTTCTCTTGGCTAGCGAGTTGAAGTCTTCTGCTACCACGATTGTTGTTGAGCAGCAGTTTATCTCCTGTATCCATTGGCTAATAGTGGATATTGCCTACAGTACGCTACTGGAACGCCGACATTTCGTCATCACCACTCAGCAGAACGACGCGCCGAGAACGTTGCAGTCTAATCTAGACTAATAGTCAATTTGCTATAAGGTAATTGCCGCATACCTAGACTAAAGCAACAGTAGTCCCCAATGAGAGGATTAATGGAACAATTTTGGTAATGACGTTCTACTTTGTTGAATGATGATAATATAGATAGAAATTCGAAATCGACGAAAATAACTACCCACGATCAAGCATACAAAGCCGCATACGTGGACTCTTGGATTATGGAAAACCAAATGTCTTCTATGCACTGCATTGCTTCCTTTGAACAAAAACAGCATGAGCTTGAAGTCCATACTTCAACGAAATGGCTAGATTTGCTTGAAATGGTAAGATAACTGTGCTACTAAAGTACCGATTTGAATTTAGACTTTGGCATTTTTCTTCCATTAATTTCTTACTTTGTTGTTTACTTGCTATTCATCTTCATGATGAATGTTTTCAATTGAAACACCTCTGATGATAAAAATTGATTCCATTTTATATGCGTCTCTTTTCTACTACGCTAGTTGCTTTATTCCTACAATGTTCGCTGTACTTCAATCAAGTATCATGACGAAGAAGGAGACGAGGTACGAAAGAAACTTGCTACCTTTTTGTTTACAAATCGTCCATTTTGATTTATTTGTTGTACTCGGCGCTTACAGTAAGTACATGGTCGAAAAAGATACAAACGCCGTATGTTGAATGTTGGAAGTGTACTACTCTCGATAGATTTTATGCAGTACGCTATACACTACAGTACTGTCTATTTGTATGGATTGATTGAGTCAAAAGATCGCTAAAAAGAGGAATTTTTTCTTAATTTACTATACATCTGTAAACCCTACATTACATCATCAATACGTACATCCACGTACAAGTGAGTAAGGGATTGTCAATCCCAATCGGGATCGAAGATCCAAGTCTTTGCTCCATCCGTGCTAGTCATTTCCTGCTTGACATTACACGCATGGATAAAATGACTACAATGAGTACGTCATAATATGGACAAAATAACCCTTGTCTTTTTCCATTTCCAATCATAAAATGAACTAGTCCACATTCATAAAGGCTAATTTTAGAGTGGATCGAATGCATTGACCAAGTCCTCTCTGTCCTTGTATGTTGATGCCCCGTCATCATTCTATCTATACCAGATCGTGAAAAGTTATTGTAATAACCAATAGAATGATTCTTATCCACTCGACTTGAATTTATCAGCCCATCTATAGTGAGCACAGTACATAAATTTAGATTACTTGAGTAGTTATCGATTAATAATTATTAATTAGCCCCAAAGTCCTGCCGAAATTTTTTGCCGATGGCTTCAACGGCTGAAAGGGCTTTCCATTCAACAAACAAAAACAAGCCGTTCGGACGGACTACACCTGGACATATGTCTACTGGAGTTGCCTACCAACGACAGTATGGATTGTCTCCATTTTCCTCACCAATGGAGAAGATTCATTCGATGTCGTATAGTACAGTATAAGCGATAGACTGGTGAACGCGATAGTATACTATCTATTTATTTTCTTCTCCATACCAGCCAATCAAGCAAAACACTGAAGTGAAACTGCCAGCAAAAAATTGGAAAGAAAGAAATTCAAAATGGATCTCGACATTCTTGACTAATAGCGAGATACTACTAGCTGCTTGTCTACAAAGTTCTCATCCATATTAGCACAACGAAGATTGTGCTAGATAATTATACATTTGATCCTCATACAGTAATGAAGGCGAAGTATTGCATAAAGTAGAAAATAATGCATCGAGTAACAAGACTCCATCCAATGGATGATCTCAAGATGATCGTTTTGTCAACGGAAAGTTACTCTCTTCTATCACGTTGGCAAGAATGAGCCTGTAGCCTGTATAATATACCGATACTGCTTTCTTGCTAGATTGGCCACAGATAACTTTTTTACCTGTTGAAATCTTAACGACAGTAGCCCTGATACGCAATGGCTACGAAAAGTAAATTAATGAATTATTGATTCTACTCTGCACGTGCACAATCTACCGTAGACTTGCAATATGAAACAACGGTAAAGGATGCAAGCATTTGAAGAGCATTGAGGCATGAAAAGGGTAGGGTGTCTTTATGATGTCAAATTCCTGTATAAAACTTGACTGTAATCTCTTGAAAATTCATCAGAAGCAAGGATCATCCAGCTATAAATTGACTTGAGTCAACCATCTTAGTAGAACCCTACTTCGTTCTTGACAAAGGATGATCATCTTGTACTTGTATAAAAAACGCATGAATGGCGTCTAAAAGGGTTCATAAATAATGTAGAAGAGTCAAGCGCTCTCTTATACAGCGGTAAACCTTACCCGTAAATGTAATTAAGGCAACCAGTGAAATCAATACTACCTAACTCAGATTAATAACCAAGATTAGAGTAGACTATTGCGAAACCTACGTGTAGAGCAGCCGATGCAGGACTTGCAATGTATCCAACAGTGATTTAAATTGGCATTACTATATTGCACACTCGGTTGCAAATTGGAAATAGGATTCATTTTATCATGAGTGAAGCAGTTGCTATGAGCAATTGACCTTGTGCAACTTCAATGAACTTCCCGTTTGAAATTGTAGACCTTTAAACATGATAATTGAAAGCCTCATTTTAATTAATCGTCTGGTGTAAATGTACATTATAGTTCAATTAAGATATGATGAAATTGATTGGTCAAAGGACTAGGTGGGTTAGAGTCAACTTTGATCATGTAATTATTGACTTCAATTGATAGACTAGATGGTGATGACAACATAATGTAGAATTCCCCTTAGCATACGCATGATAGACAGTACTCATTACCGTAGAGCGATCACTGTTCACAGAAAGTAAACCTTAAAATCCTTCAACATCTTATACAATCCAAATAATACTACTGTCACCATACTGCTGACAGTATTGATAATTGTCGGATCGATGCATTCATGCATAGGGATAAAAGCAGCCAATCCTTAAATCGTTTATCTCATCTGTATAACAAACCTATCGTCTACAACGATCGTTACAGTAAACGGATTTTCGCCATATTCCCATGGAGACGATCAATCTTCAGCAAAGTAATTGGATAAAAATTCAATACCCTTGGTGCGAGTATTGTTACTGCAAGTGACTGTATCCAAGGATGATAAAAGAATCATTTCCTTTGCCTTAGTCCTTTACCTTTACTGTTCTCTAGCTACCAGTACTGTAGTGTACTTTGATTTTATTTTTTTTTTCTCCATCAATGACGTATGCCTTCTTGAAATATCATATTAATGAATAGATAAGAACATCGATTGAAATAGAACACACCCAATTCATTAAAAAAGAGAAATGAAAAACAGCATAGGAGACTTTGCTATTTAATTAATAATAAGCAAAAGTTTTTATTTTCTTCTTTATGACATTTATTCAATAATAATAATATCAAGTGTCCAATAGTATTATTATCAACAAGTATAAAAGTTCATCCTTTTATTTCATCAATCTTCATGATGATTGGTTGTAATATTGATTGATCCTTATAAAATTATTTTCTGTCTTTTATTATCCAGGTGTCGGTCAGCAGCCAAGGTAGAATCGAAGTCAATAAATGCATCCTTGTTGTTTGCTACTCTACAGTTTTTACTTACTTTCAAGACATGGTAGTCTAATACTGTGTTTACCTGGTATTATTACTATTTAATAATAATCATCAGTACTTTTCCCTATGAAAAATTGTTTTGCCTATTTGTTGTAGTTACTGCATTTTGGAAAAAAAACCATCAGTCGTTAGATCATAGCTGTAATCACTGCTTGATAGATTAATACCGTAAAACTTGATGAGATCAATAGCCTAGCTATTTTATTAAATTACATAAGATACAGTATAGCAGATATTTCTAATAGTTTTAGTTTTTTTATCTCTGATTTTTACGCCAGCAGAAATTCATCACCTAGATCGTATAGACTCTGTGCAAGCATATTAATTACGCGTATTTTGCGTATTTAGTTGACTAATACTGTAAACTTTCACTTGCTTACATTCCCTTTCCTTTTTTATTGTACCTGGATCAAGACGAATGGGAAGAAGTACTAAAGGTAACTTAGATTCTGCAATAGAAAAAAAAGTGCAATGATGTTCAACATTTTCAGCAACATGACATTTTGCTAACAATACTACTAGTTCAAGTTTACGATTATCATTATTAAAATTGCTTATGTAGTCTTGGAATGAATTTCTGATACCGTTATTGTATTTTAGTTGATTAGTGCATCTAAACCGGAGGCTTTCAAATTTTGCATTATCGGTGAAATTGTCAATGAACCTTTCCCTACTGGTGTAGCACCACCAGTAGAAGAAAACTCCAATCAGGTCTGTTGCATAGAAATACAAGAAAAACAATGCAAAAGAACTTCTTATAAATCAAATCTCGTAACCGTCATGTTAAATCCTATAAAGGGCTCTTGATAAGAGAATTTTTGCTCCAAAATTAAACACCGCTACTGTACTATATACTATCTACATACTGCAAAAAGAGCCTCACAACGCGCTTGTTTGGCTATTGCTAATGATGATCCTATTTTTTTATTTTAATTTATTACTGATATCGGTGTAATCCATATAAATTTTATTTGATAGACCGATCTAATAACTGAACCGATCGCAGCCGGTGGTAATGGTAATTGCGGTCGAATGCAGCGAATAAAACGATTTTTAAACAACATGAAAGAAGTTGCAAAAGAGCTCAAAACATCATCTCAGGAACTGCGTGAGACGGTGAATACAAAGGAGCCTCCAGAATGGTTTAAAAATTCATCTGATCATGTATGTTGATACCTAATTTACAGCATAGAAAATTGTAAACTAAAGTATTTCTATTATGAAGACCTTATATTTTTCAATCGCAAAATTATTGCTTTTATGCAGTAACTCAACGATAATTACAAAGAATATTTTGTATATCTACATCAATTAAGCAGTAATTATTACATTCTATCTCTCGAGTAATGAATAAATGAAATCTTAATTTGTTTTATATAATTATTATAGATGTGCCAAATGATCATCAGTGGAGTCTTATCGGGCTTAGATAATGCTGTTGTAGCATCAGTACCCGGTAATAGTACTCTGCAATCACAATTGGGTAATAATTGTGACAATGCACGACGTAAGTTATTTTCATTATAGTTTGTAAGGAAAAAAAATAATCCAGTTTTATTTTCTACTGTCTTTCATCACATGGGTATAAGATAAAGTAATTTTTTTTCCTTTAATGAACTAACAGCTCAAATAATAATTTTTTTTAGCTGTTTATGTCCATGATAAAGTTTTCTGTGACGTCTGCAATCAAACCATCGTTGGAATTCGATATAAATGCGGGTACAATGTCATTAAAAATATACAATAATTTGTATTGACCTATATTAATATATAACCCAAACGATTGCTAAAAGACTGACGGTATACGACTGTGCATGCGTATTATTCTGTTAGTGTCATACCGAACCAATCAACTATGATATTAGTAGCAATTCAACATTATTCTTACGTATGAAATAATTTTATTTGCTTGGTATTAGAAATTGTGCTGACTACGATTTATGTGAACAATGCGAGAGTATCCCAAATATCCATGATAGCACCCATGTGTTTTTGAAATTACGAAAGCCCGTTGTAGCAGCTGGACGCGACCCAGTTACTGGTTTGGTCTCGCCATTACTGCATAAATGTGTTTACAAGCCGACACTAGCGTCAGAGCAACACGAAACAGAGTAAGATAATAACTGTTCTGCTAATGACTTGATTGTAACTGTATTGCACCTATTTCTATTCCAACTACTTTTCTCATGTGCTATGTTATTTAAATTATGATGATTAGTTTCTTCGTATCAAAGCCCCAACCAGAGCCATATGTTATAGACGCTATCTTGGCTGAAAGAAATTGTGAAATTTACCGCGAGAAATCGAGTAAGGAATTAAAGAAGATAATGAAGGCTGAGAAACGAAAACTAAAGTAAGGATTAGCATCTTTTAAAATTTTTTTGTACTTTACATACAATTTAGTACCCAAGCTTTATTCTTAATATGTTAATTAATTAAAGCAGAGGTTTTAACTGTATGCTAAAACTTTTTGCAATACAATTACTTTTGCTATAGGCAAAGTTTAAGTGCAAGCTTATGTAGTGAAGAAAGCTCTCCAGATATTTATTACCCAATCAATCCAAACCAAAAAGTATGCAATATATACTATTCTTTGTTAAAGTTACCTATTCTTAACTGTTCATTGCTTATCGTCGATAATTAAATAAATCTTACAACTGTATAATAATTTATGCAAATAAAACAATTTCTAGTTTACCAAGACTTGGTGCATACGCAATACTGGTAAATCAACTTGGAACAATATCAAGGTAAAGCAATGTGCAATTTTCCAAAATGTAACAAATCATGTCGTAGCATTTTTGATTTTATTTTCTTATCTTGTTAACAATTTATCTTTTTGTAGTTGATTTATATGAAAGGAAAATGTAAATCACAGAGACTTAAACCAGAGGCGGATGGCAAGGTCTTCCTTCCCGCTGTAAAACCTGGTGAAAAACATTTTGTAACCGTGTCATTCATAGCTCCACACTTACCGGGAGAATACTTTAGTATTTTACGACTAAAATCAAATGGCATCAAATTTGGACCTCATTTCATATGCAAAGTTAATGTTGTCAATCAATACAGTCATGAAGGTATACAGATAAAAACTCACTTTCTAATTTCTAATATCTTTTGTGTAACTTATTGCTATCATGATGAAATTTTTAAAATATTTTGAATTTTATTTCATTATTCTCATAATAGATACTTTAACTGAACCGATTGCTGCTATACCTACCACAGAGTTAAACTGTGATGATATTGCATCCTCGCAACAGAGTTCGATTGCTACGTCATCAGATATTGTTATTGTGAAACGTTCTGATTACGATCCGATAGCTGTCGCATGTGAAACGTTATGTGAGGATAACTTATTGAACGCTGATAATATCGATGATCGTAATCTACACGTAGAAGATAGTGAAGCAAAAGAAAGCAGACGTACATCAGATGGTAGCATTGAAACATTATCAGTATCTGTCCGTAAGTAAAATATATTCTTATGTTTCAAAACCAAATATATCCCTAATTAGTATAATGATTTGTAATAGATCAAGATTGCACTCTTCCAGTACAAGATGCATGCAATTATAATGAAAAGACTCAGACTACAGATCGAAAGCCTGCTAATGAGGGTTGTGATGACTTCCTTATTGTGGATTTACCCGACTGCTTTGACATGACAAAACCACTTCCTCCGGAAAAAATTGCTGCAATCACTGAAGCTTTTGAGAAATCTAGGAATGAAAGTTACTTTGGTGTTGATAGTATTGAAAGCAGTTTACAAAGGACGTCAATAAGTGAAGATCTGGATACAGTAAAATCAGCAGAAGATTTTAAAGATATTAATGCAGATGATGTATCTATTGCGTCAACATCTTCAAGCGATAGTCAATCTTACAGTAGCGTAGATGAAGTAGTTAATGTAGCTGTCGTCGATCAACCTGTGAGATTATCACCTGATCGAGATGAAGAAGAGATTATGGAACCTAATATACAGCAACACGATGATTTTTCTAATTCCCAAGAAGTTAATAATGTTCCCGAGCTAGGATATAACTCTACTGATAGAACTCCTACTTCAAGCAATGAAACTGATAACGATAGCATCAGTAATCGAATGATGAATTTCTTAGAAGCGGTCTCTGCGGGCGCCACTTCACTCCAAAATGCAATTTCGCGTGCTGTTGATGGTGATACTTCAGAATCGCAACCAAGTTCAGAGAAAGATTATGAGGTATGTATGTATTATTTCCCTTTATGGATAAAGTATAACTAATATGCATGACTTTGCATAATTCAATTGTACCGTATGATAACTTTATTACGTTAACAAAACAGAAACAAGAGTCGAATCCGAATCTTATGGAAGAGCTAGTCCGGATGGGTTTCTGCGATAGGAAAGTAAATCAAGAATTGTTGGACAAATACCCTGATAACGTTAATGCAGTTATAACAGACTTATTACAAACACTTAATGATGGCTGGGCTGAGAGAAGACATTAACTTACTGCGCTGTATTGTAGTTTTTACAAGTCGTGTAATTGTAATAAACGATTGTAATAACTGATAAAGACATTATCAGGACTCACGGTAATAGTATCGTAGAACGGATTAAGACTGTTTACTACCATGTAGTGCTGATGTTTTACGTCAAGTATCTATTATCATTAAAGTTACCTTAAGCCTTAACAAATGTGGCGTCTAATTGTGTTGTTATTTCAGTCGAATAATAATTGCTAGAATAACTATCTATTGAGACAATACTTCCTATCACTTATTGATTGCTATGTTATGGTATTGTTAATGGCGATCGTTTTATCAGCTTGAGAGTGATAAATTTATTGCTTACTATTGGAAATAATTTATAGGCGATATATATTGCTTTGTAAAGTACTGTTATTTGCCTTTATAACTACGCATTTAAGGCTAATTGTTTTCAAACGCTTAATGATTTTACACTTCTTTCAGATATAGCTATTGTATCTATCTACAAACATTGTAGAGATGGTAAATCAGGTTAAGTGTTGTTTCTTTATTGATCTCTACAACTCATATATTAGAGGCATACTACAGTTTACACCTCTATCTTGTATAACTCATGCGTATATATATATATATATATCAGGTTTACATATTTATACAATTCAGTAAAAGGTACATATACTCGTGTATCACTATTGCAACTTACGGTTATCTTTTATGTGCTATTTGGGAGAAACAACACGTTTAGAAAATAAAATAACTAAAGAATAAAAAATTAATTACTAGATGTGTAGATTCCACTTTGTTGGAGATTGTCCAAAAATGCATTATTTTGACTGTAATAATATTATAAGGTCATTTTAGCAATTGAAGGAAAGATTGCGTTATGATGTACGTACTAGCCAAGACATGGATTCAATGTAGAATTAAGTTTCTTACCGCAGCACCGTATTAAACCTGTGTGTATAAAGAGCACTGATAATATTGTGATTAGCGTTATGTGCGAGTGCGTAGTAGTCTTATGATACTATTTAATAAATAACTATTACCTATTGGATTATTGGCCCACAACTAATTAATCTTAAGTTGAAAATTCATAAAAATTGTGCGACTAAGTAAAACGTCATACTTGCAATTCTTGATAAAGGATTTGGAGGAGAAATTTCATTACTTTTGATCACTCATGAAAACTAATACACCTTATATTCCTAAGCAATATTCAATACGATACGTACTGTATATAACTAAATTTAAATACTAGAAACACAAGACTCAAGGCGTGATAGCGTCGGAGAATAAGTTTATTTATTAAAAAATGGAGTACTGTATGTTCAACATACTGTATCTAGTTCAGTGAAAATAAGAAAGCGTTTGAATATCTCAGTATCTTAACAGTAAAATCTGCAAAAGTAAACTTTTCAATCCTGCGTTTTGTATGGCAATTTATAGCTTATATTTTCGTTATAGCAGAATATACCATCATGATAATTTGCATCTACTCTATATTATACACGAATAATAACATAAATAGTTTTCATGATTTTTTCATATCTTTAATAGTAACATCACAAACTAAAGCCAAGTGGTCAGATGGAGCGTTGGGTGATGGCAAGGCCTTATCTCTTTTGATTTCATCTTCAGTTGGGAATGGGACAACTTGCTTAACATCTACGTATTCTTTTTCACCAAATATATAATCAAGAGTTCCTACAAAATCCTGAACATAATTTGTGAACTGAGGTATACCACATAAACTATAGAAATCAAAGGCGTTATCAAGTACTAAATCGATTGGCTTCCATCGATCTGCGGTTGTTGGGAAGAAATGCTTTTGATGCTTTTGATGAGTAGTAAGTAACTGATAAACATTAGAATTAGGAATACTATTGAAATCGCCACATAATAGAATGGGAAGAACATCTGAAATAACTAATGGAGATATGTTCACATTAGACTTTTCAAGAAAGCTATGATTCTACTAGGCTTAAATACAACAATAGAATGACTTTTACTAAATTCATACAAGTATAGAAAATTACGTAAAGATTAGTTGATTCAATTATAACATAGTGATGAATTACGTACCTGTAAATTTATTGCGAATTAAATTCAGCTGGTGTAATACAACAGATGCTTGGACTAAGCGTACTTCCGGTAGCATAGGATTGGCATACAGATGTGTATTGCCAATACAAAATAATTTATTAGGTGCTTCTCGCCATCGAAAAACACATGCCATAGCTACATTGGGTAAATTAACGCATTTTCTCTTTAATTGTGGATGCTTCTTGATTTGTTTAGCTAGGTGACCTAGGCTTTCATCCTATATAATTTGTAAGTAAGGTATTATACATATATGTTAGTGTTGCAAAAATGCAATACAGTATAAGTTATAATTTTCGATACGATGATATTTATCATAAATCGATAATCTCGTAAATTATAAGAATGTGAAGTACTACTAACTTTAACTAACATGCATATCATAAAGTATAGGTACTGATATTCCTAATAATAACGCAATCGCATACGGCACAATTTTCTGTACGATAGCCTTAATTATTATAAACCAAATGATATATTGTAACTTGTAAGAGTTTGCAGAGCCAATTATCGAAATTAACGTATCTCGTGAAGGAAAGGATATAAATATGTTATGCAATGATAGTGAGTGATATTCTATTCCATTGCATCAATAAATGATTCTATCAGGATACATTGCAATTTCTTAGCACAGAATCATTCGTCATCAGTAGATCATGCTGTAGCTTGCAAGAATTTACGCATTTGGTCAATGTAAAGGAATTCTGTGTATCACCGTTAATTATCAATTAAATTAAATCATGTTATAACTTGCATGTGTCTGCATTGCCAATTAAGCTTTACGGATATATCTTATAAAGTTAAGGTGTGTATAATCCATACGGTAATGTAGTAACATGTGTTGCGATTATACTATACGATATCACTCATTTTATAGCAACAAAGTTAAGTCATAACTAGCAAGAGGATGAAAGAATTTACCTTAAGTAATAAATCTCGTAAGGCAAAGGTATGCAATGATAATAATTGAAATTTTGATCTATTATACAATAACGCAAGGCCTTCTTTAACCTCTGCCTTTTTAAAGATATGATTCCCAGAGTAACCATGAGTACGCATTGCAGGCAGTATGACATTTTGTAATAATTCTTTGTCGCATTCTTGAAGGCAAATTATATCGGCATTATACCCTACTAATTCATCTATTATTAAGGGCAATCGATAGGAATATCGAAGATATCTTGGATTGCAATAGCGAAATACATCATTACTATATCCACTCGATAGGATGTTATAAGAGACGATCCTAAGATCACCAACAACATCTAATTTTGATTGAGTAAATTGATATCGTTGGCGAGATAAGCATCGAATAGGGCCATAACTAACAGGTATATTGGATTGAATAGTAACAGCATCACCATAATTGTCCTCGTGCCGAGGTGTACAACGTAATTTTAATCGTTGGCCGAAATCACTAGGTTGTATTTTATAATGGATATTATCACCGACTTTCTCCCATGATTGTTTACCATTTTTTTGCCTACTAGAAAACCATTCATAATGAGATTGTTGGACACTGCTAAATTCCATCTTTACATTGGGAGCAATTGTAAAGCCAACAAATACGTCGGTATCAGGAAATTGCAATGAAACAATACGAGGTGGATTAACTTGAACTATAAATTGTTTATTATCTAATTGTAAGATATGGCCAGTTTCCCATGCTTCAACATTAGGTAATCGACGTATAATATGAGCTGATGTTTTACCGTGCAATAATACTGGCAAAGTGGTAGAAGCTACATGTGCAGCTAAGCCTTTTTTCATCCTAAAATAGTAGCCAGCAATGGTATCTAAGCCATGCTTTAATTCCGCTTCCTTGTCCACGGAGACATTAAATAAAGTTCGACTGCCATCACGCAATGTAATCAACATCATGGAGAGCTGATGCTCTCTTGCAACCACAGCACGTAGTCTAGGCGGCTGAGCACGATTTGCCAGCCATCTTCTTGCTATTCTCATCCACTGCATCCTACCATTCATTCGTTTACTTTATTCGCTTAGGATATCAATCCAATAGCAGGTGAAAATAAAGTATCAACTCCTGTGATCACCAATACTATGATTAAAATAGTGTAATAGCTTATAATTTCATGGATAGTTGCTGCAATGAGATCAATTGAAGAGGATAAAACGAGCTAGAAAATAACTTGAAAATATTTACCGATAGCTGCAAGACGACACGATGAGAGAATGTTGCCCGAGCAGTTGCATCCAGTCCCACGAACGATATCGTGTCGCATGTAGTATTCACCCGCAATGGCATGTCACCCGTTGAGTGGACAGCTGGACCGCGCAGGCCTTGTAGTCTTCGTGTATGTTGAGTGGGGAATAGGTAAAAAGTTATGTTAGTCTTGACTGGATGGCGACTCATGTTTGAGTAGTACTACTCCGTCGATTACAGTGTACAGTACAGATAAACAATTTACACTGTACACTGTATACTGTACAATTTCTGGGTAAAGATGACTCCATTTTGACTAAAATCACGGTAGGCTTTCGATGGTCCTTCATCACATCAAGAAATAACTCGATTTTGACTAAAATCACTTAGGCTTTCGATAGTCCTTAGCCACAGCAAGAATTAACTCGATTTTGACTAGGATTGAGTAAACAGACTTTCGAGCAGCAGGGTCGTTTGTCGAGTCCCGTTGCCCCCCGATCGCAGGTGTATCGTATACTGTACTATTTGTCTATTTCACTATTTTTACTTTTTCAGAATCAATTAATTATAATTATTGAGAGCCTAGAGCTAGGAGTAAGAGCGAATCATTCATTGATTCATTCAATACAATTTCTGTTCTGCAGTTGGAGTTTTCTTCGTGTCGAATAAATTGGATTTGATCGTAGTCGCCATACTGGCCACAGGACAGCAATGCACTTGTATACAGATATCCTATATAATAATTACTGTTAGCATAGAGTCCGGGTTACAGCATTGCTGCTTAGTAAACGAGGTGATAAATAGACTATGAGGAGATCAAGGCATCCACATTCATGAGTATGCAGATATCCTATACAATAATTACTGTTAGCGTAGAGTAAGGGTTACAGCATTGCTGCTTAGTAAACGAGGTGATAAATAGACTGAGGAGATCAAGGCATCCACATTCATGAGTATACAGATATCCTATACTACAGTATACAATAATTACTATTAGCGTAGAGTAAGGCACACCGTTGCCGCTTAGTAAACGAGGTGATAAATAGAAGACTATGAGGAGATCAAGGCATCCACATTCATTCATGAGTATACAGATATCCTATACAGTAATTACTGTTAGCGTAGAGTAAGGCACACCGTTGCCGCTTAGTAAACGAGGTGATAAATAGAACTATGAGGAGATCAAGGCATCCACATTCTGAGTATACAGATATCCTATACTATAGTATACAATAATTACCATTAGCGTAGAGTAAGGCACATCATTGCCGCTTAGTAAACGAGGTGATAAATAGAAGACTATGAGGAGATCAAGGCATCCTCATTTATGAGTATACAGATATCCTATCCAATAATTACTGTTAAAAGCGTAGAGTAAAAGAGTAAACACCATTGCCGCATAGTAAACGAGGTGAAAAGTAGAAGACTAGTATGAGATCAAGGTATCCACATTCATGAGGTTATTATTATAGGTTGGGACACCTGATTGATCAACCTACTAGAGATTGGTATCCAATATAGCGTGACATTGGACAGTGTCAGCTGCTGTGCAGAGATACCGTAGTCCAGGTAACCTGGTGAAAAATTGCTATTGCATCTGTCATCGATCTGTGCAAGCACTAGCTAACCTCAGCCATATTAATCGATTGATGACGATCAAAATCGATAGGCAAGGGTTAAGCAAGGATAAAATCCATTTATCTGTGTTGTATTGGACCTCAAGTATCAGCTTACTGTAATTCGTAGTCAAATACCTTTGACGAGTAGCCATCCGTATTTGGTGTAGCAATTGGATTCAGCGTAGCTGCTGCATGACCCTATTGATCAGCTTAATTCTAGCCTGGTAAAGAATTGCTATTACATCGATCTGTGCAAGCACTAGCTAACATCAGCTACCACATTAATCAATTGATAACGATCAACATCGATAGGTAAGGGTTAAGCGAGGATAAAATCCCATCTGTCTGTGTTGTATTGGACCTCAAGTATCAGCTTACTATAAATCGCAGTCAAATGCCTTTGACGAGTAGCCATCCGTATTTGGTGTAGCAATTGGATTCAGCGTAGCTGCTGCATGACCTTATTGACTGGCTTAATTCTAGCCTGGTAAAGAATTGTTATTACATCGATCTGAGCAAGCACTAGCTAAGATCAGCCGCCACATTAATCAATTGATAACGATCAACATCGATAGGTAAGGGTTAAGCAAGGATAAAATCCCATCTATCTGTGTTGTACTGGACCTCAGTATCAGCTTAAAATTTTGATCAACTACTTTTTACCAGTAGACATCAGTATTTAGTGTAGCAATTGGAATTGTTGGATTCAGCGTAGCTGCTGCATGACCCTATTGATTAGCCTAATTATACCAGATATAGGAATCGACGAGATTGATTCATAGATAGATGCAATCTACAGTTGTTGTACTATAAATTGATGTACAAAGATAAACTGTTGTTATAGGACAATGATGACTTTGAAGAGCAGATGCCACTTGCTATGGTACAACATCAACACATTAATTCGTCGACAGTTTTCAAGCCAGCTAGAGAAAAATCAAAACTATGCTATCGTCAAGACGTTAAATGATCCTAGTTCTATGACCATATCTCTGCATTATGGTGGAATCCAACAAAGTACAACTAGGAAACGAGACGAAAAACTTCAACGTTGCTTGCAGCGTTTGCAAAATTCTCTGCAAGATAAAATTAGGAAAACAATCAAAGCGGAAAAAAAATCCATTGCAATATCAATCGATCCTCATGTAATCAATAACAATAATCCAGTCAAGCTGCGTTTAATGAATAGTTCCGATCAACAAGTTGATGGAAATTGCCTCAATATTGATGCTTGGATTTCCCATCACAAATTATATGTTGGCCAAATATCTTGCGATATTATTTTGAATCCAGCTGAGGTTTCAGCCCTGTCATTGCCTCGAATTATAATGACGCAGTGTACAATCTATCCTGAGATTCGATTAGAATCTTGTCAAATCCATCAATGTCAATTTACTTGGTATCGTAGTCGTCACCATCATAACCAAGGCAAAAGGCAGTGGATTAAAGTAAGCGACCAATACTCTTACATGCCTACTTCCAATGATATTGATTGTTACCTGAAAGTCAGCTGTAAATTACCTCAGCAAAATACAAGTGAGGTCGAAGTTATCAGCGAAAATCCTGTAATGACTGGCCCATCTTGTCATCTTCTGCAACAACGATTTCACTATACAGAGACAGCGACAACAAATAAGGAAATTAGGACCGTATCATATAATATATTAGGTGAATCTTATGTTGGATCAAAATATGCAAAACGAATATATCGAAATTGTCCAGACTATGCACTCGATATTAATTACAGACAGCAATTACTAATGCGAGAATTAACCAGTTATAATGCAGATCTAATCTGTTTACAGGAGGTTAGCCATGAAACTTTTAATAATCGTCTTAAATACGGACTTCAATTCCAAGGCTTTCAAGGGTTATGGAAAAGTCGAGTTTTTGATAATAATGATGGCTTAGCAATTTTTTATAAAACGTCAAAATTTGACCTCATCTCTCAACATGATCTCGACTTGAATGCCTCTATCCAAAAGGTTAGCAATACATCATTAAATCTTAATTTTTATAAATTTCTAAGATAAAACTTGAATGAAGTAGAAAATATATGATGGTAATTCTAATTTTAACAAAATTATTCTTGAAATACAGCTTGCAAAGAGATTAGCTCGTGCTCTCACCTTTCCTTATTTTCATAGGATTCATATCAAGAAGCACTATTAAATTTAATCCGACCTTATGATCAACTAGTGCATGAAGTACTGAGTCGATCTAACGTTCTGCAAGTTGCTTTATTAAGAAGGAAGGAATGCAATGATCAGTTAATTTGTTTAGCAAATACTCATCTTTATTTTCGACCTTTAGCTGAAATTATCCGTCTCATTCAAATTCAAGCTATAACCAATCATTTATCACTCATATCGAAAAGCATTTCAGGTAGGAAATTGTTAAGCCTATTTATACCCAAAATAGAGGCGATATTACATTTAGTAGGATATACAGTAGTAATGGTGTACATTTAGCTTACCTATAGTAGCAGAGGAAGTACAGAGTAAGGAGTGCTTTACATTGTATTTCTTAAATCTAAACTTGTTGTATTATAATATTTTACAGATTTACCTGTAATATTATGTGGCGATTTCAATAGTGCACCATCTTCTGATACCTACCAGTTTTTAACGAATGGTTACTGCAAAAGTCAATCTACTGCTGACGAAAGTTACTTATTAAAGGATGCAGCAAGTTTTGAATTTAGCCATAACTTAACCTTTGATGCATTATCACAAACATTACACTGCACTCATCACACTACTAATTTTTCTGGGACAATCGATTATATATTTGGAAAACGTGGCTATTTTAATGTTAAAAATGCTATCCCTTTACTGGAGGTTACAAATATCAATGCGAATCATGGACTACCGACGACTGAATTTCCATCGGACCATTTGGCAGTAATTTGTGATATAAGCATGGTACATCATCATCAATAAATATTCGCAAATTTATAAAATGGAGTAGCAATAAATTAGATTTTGCATCATGTTAACAGCGATAATATATCGTATATGTGCGAATATTAATGAGTGATACATTTTGATCACAAAAATTATCCGTTGTGTATTACAAAAAGCCCAATTCAATTAACTATCATAACGCGAATTCAAACCCTGCCTCAATTTTTAATTCTGATATTTGAGCATGTATAAAGTATCGCAACAATAACTATCGAAAATTTGATAAGCAATTTAAGGCAAGAATACTGAAAATTTGGAGTTAAATATCATTCGAACTGTATATTTGCCTAACATATCATATCAACAAATACTCTCCGATTTATATAATTAACAACAAATTAATAAAATTTTTTGCATCATGCTATTAATAACAACAATAATAATGTATCACAGCTAATAACAGGTGATCAAATAAATCATCAATGTATTGATGACTTATCATAACAAAGTTTTCATTCATTGCCGGTTGATATTTGAGTGTGTAGACACAGTACTACACTAGATTATAGGTAAATAGAAATTACTAATCCATTGCCGTTAGATACATACTCTTATTACGTATGTAGCGCAGTTTGAGAAGCTATATTAAATTTCATTTGAGCTAGCACCTATTCCATTAAATCATACGATTTATTCAAAAATCGACAACCAAGTGATCTTTGCGAAAGCGCGAATTAGCCTTTATTTTTATGAATATACGCATAGTCATATCTCTACGTGACAATTACTAATCTTGTAGCCACTAAAACAGCCTAGCTACGTGTTATAAAAGTGTCATACCTATACTAATACGCGCATATTAATTTCTGAAGGATAGCAGGTCGTTCCAATTTTACATAATAGATTTTACAATCGTATACAGTTAGTATTGCATTCTAGCATAGCAAATACAATCCTGTTCAATATCTCGTCAGCCTGCCTAAGACACAGAATTCACAGCAATACATTACCATATTTTTTTAGCAATATAGTACTTATTTATATTATGTCAATAAAATTAATTCTATAAACAAGAGTGCATCTTCATTTTTGATAAGATTATACCTAATTATCAACAAACGGACAACATAATGCAGTTGTCACTGCTAAACAGCCAAACTTTCTAGGAAAAAATTCATACTCAAAGTCTAACACTAAAATCACTGTTTACTAGTAGGCAAAACTCTCTCACGTTAGTAAAGATACTAATTTGATTTTATGTATATCGAAATCCAATTACTAATTAAAGCAATCATTTGTACAAAGCGGACACCTGTATTGGTGTAATTATGTAGTAGTAAAAAATGAAATACTACTATACCTAACCATGGCCTAACATGGATATAAAATATATATAAATTGAGCTTTACGAATTTTACCTTACATATCAAGCGAATTGTTGAAAAATGTTAACAGCAACCTTTATAAGCTTTAATAACATAACAACACGTTAGAATAAGTTAGTCTACAATATTGGTACTTGATATTATATATCGTGTATCATCGTTATATTTGAAAAGTGTTATCATTGCATTACATTCAAGATTTAAAAATAAGGGCAGTATTAAAAACTTTTGGTGGAAAATTACAAACAATAATTATACGACATGATCTCCTTCAGATCTATAACTACATATTTTTTGCATAATATTGCTTGTTAAAAACACATCAATAATACATGCTTAAGTATTATCATATTATGTAGCTCCTTAAGTTTAATAATACTACTGTATCAATAAAATATCCCTCATGATTGTACGATATTTTGTCATCTTGGAAATTGTAGATCTCGTATAAAAGGCAATCCATGTTTCCGCAGGGTCTTTAAGGCAAGCAACCATCTTAATCCGGCATGATACCACCAAAGGCATATTCTAAAGTGGTTGAAGGAAGTATAGTGAGTATATATTTTACACATGTTGAGAAAATGTGTGCATTTAAAAAAACAATATAATGTACACGCGTGTATGTTTACCATCAATTTCGTTCTCCTTTATTAAATTATCTTCCTCACTATCAAGCTGCGAAAAATAAAAATAAATAAGTATAAAAAATATCATCCATATCACAAGAATACAAGTTACTTTATTGTAACTGAGGGTTTACGTTACAACTCTTACTCGTGTATTAGAATTATATACTTTAACTTTATATATATCTATATTTTAAGATCAACATTATCATTGCTAATTTTATTTGTTTCAGTACATACAGCTTCTAATTCCGAGGCAGTATAAAACCTTCCTAATGCCTTTCTTATAGGAATTAAAAATAGGACTAAGATTGGGAACGCAATAGCTGCTGCTGTCAGTTTAACAATCCAGAGTAAGGTTAGAAAGAAAACTTGAACTAATGTATAAGAATAAATTTTACGCGTTGGCACCTAAAATAGGGAAAAATACATAAAATCATTTTTTTACATTTACAAATGTAAAAGGGTTGATATTCAGACTGATCAGGAAACAATAAATCATAAATCAAATAGCGGGCCTTACATTTTTAACATAGATTTCGTTGTGATGCTTGAGCGGCATAAATAGTAATTTGAATCTTTTAAAAAGCTGAATTCCTGTAATAGATGCAATACCCATATACAACAGCACACCAAGTATAACTGCATAGGGAATGACTTCAATAACTTGTGTAAAGTATAGTGAAATACCTACATCAAAAATATCAAACGCTTGTCAATTTTTCTATCTTGAAAATAGTGTAACTTGTATTTATCTCACCCATAAGTACATGAATCAATAGTGCAGTTAATCTTTGCTCCCTGACATAAAGAACTTGGGGTTTTTCGCCCGGCGCGTAGCATTTACTATAAACTGTCAGGCTTTTTAAGTGCGATGCAGATCTAACCGTGGCTGAACACATCCACGGTAACCCAAATAATGAAAAAATTCCAACGCAAAGACCATTTAACATTAAATCCAGATGGAAGCCTGAGCCCTTTCTCATTTTAAGATTCTTCTTGTTCATTAATAGTTCCGTAACTTCAATTTCCATAAATAGCAGTATACTTACAAGAGCAGCTAAAATAGATATAACTCATAATTACGCTCGATATCTACTTATAACTAAAAGATATTAATGTAAATATACCTGGAATAAAAGCGGCAAAGATCCAACCAATTGATATTTTAAAAGGATTAACCAACCAACTATAGCGATAAGGTGATAAGGTTAAAAAGCCAGGCCTAACATCAAGTCTTTTAATGTAAACAACATTTCCAACTCCGTAGACGTTAATAAGCACCATAATAATAATAGTAATCATGATGCCAAGATCACAAACCATGTGTCGCGCCTAAAAATATACCACAGAATTTTATCAAGAATACGTCAACAAAAGGTTGATATAGTTTCAACAAGAGTAAATAGCATTGATATGTTTATAGCAGTAAATACCCAAGTGCCAAGAAATTTACTCCTACGAAAGACTCTCCACGCATAAATGATGCCGAATGTACCGAGAAAGTACATAGTTGATAACAATGCCGTATTAGGGTGTGGTTTACTGCACTTTGTTGTTCCATTATTATCAATATCCAGTAAGGTATAATTTCCCATGCAGGTATAATTAGCATAGCTGCCGGCATAATTCTTCGGTACATAACTTGCGTTACAGTAGTTCGACAGAACAGGATCAGTTGCGTAAATCTAGCAAAGTAGAGAAATGTAATATAATTAGATATAACAATTAAATATAATAAATTATTAATAACTGCCAAAATTATGACTCTAGTAAAAATAACGAAACAAACTATACCTTCAAAAGATTTTTAATCGCTTCATATATAAAAATCAATGATATCAAGCTCGCAAATATTTCTTCTGTAAATCTTGTCAGGTATCGTATTAAAAAACTTCCTTGCAATAGTACGACCAGAGATAAAATTAGAAATACCCATAAGCCTACCCAAACACGCATGGTCAAGAAATCTACGTGGTTTAGTTGGCAAAACTGAAAGGAAGCAGTAAAAAAAGTTAATTTAGAGCTGTCTGAAGAATATAATTAAAATTTTATGTGATGATCACACATGCATACTTAAATGCTATATCTCTCTATCAGAATTAATCTTACATCGAACAGCGCTTCTTCAAAAACAAGGATAGGGCCAGTAGCTCCCATAATAAGTAACGGTTGGCCAGCTAAAACTGCATAAATAATACCACAGATGGAAGTGGCGACTATCGTCTCAGAAACACCAATCACTCCTTGAGTATAATCTCCTAAAATAGCTCCAAATGTAATTGCGGGAGCCATGCAAGCAAAGAATATAAATACAGAAGCTGTAAGGCATTGCAAATTAAATGCATCCGTGTAGTCGCTCAAATAGTGCGCATATCGTCGACGCATGTCACGTAGCAGTCCGCTGCCACACTCTTTTGTATACATTAGAGGGTCTAGGTCTGAACTGCTGCTTCCAAATTCCTTAACATCTGTTACGAAAAATAGTTTCAATTAACAGCCGACAGAATCTATCTAAATTATAAATATCGTCTTTTCTATAGATTAGTCATACGTATATATTGGTACTTAATTAGTCAGAATACTACTGCAAATACCTGGGACATCTTCAGATTTTACTTGTCTACTTTTAACAACTGGTTCTAACAGATCTTTATCCCATTCACCAGGTGGAAGAACAACGCTACCGTCCAGAAAGAAATTAACACCTTGTAACAAGTCGGCTCTACAGTTAGCCTTATAAGCAGCTTCTTTGAATATCTTAAATAGAGATACGGCAACAAAATTAATTAAGTCAATTTACATCTTTAAGGCTTTTTATCGCCATTCTTCGAATATAAATCGATATTGATAATAAAGCTACTCATACGATAATCCAATTTTAATATGCTGCTAAATGATCTCTTTATCCTCGTAGTTTACCTTGTTCGACATCAGTGTCGAAATAGCACGGCCAACTTCTCGATAATCGATATACTCTGTACTTGGGCCCAACAGCATAAAAAAAAATCGAACAGGTATTGGAACTTGCATCATATTATCCAGTAAGTGGCCAGTCGACAATCGAACAAAAGCAACAACAGCACAATCAAGCATATCTAAAGAGCCAACTAAAACAGTCATGCCTTCTGAGCCAGTTGGGATTTTTTTTAAGAGTTCTTTGTCATGATATTCGTGCTTATTTGAAGAAGTAACAGTTGATTTTTTTTCAGTTGGTTTCGAATTGGGTACAGAAAATGTGATCCCATTTTCTGTATCGTTGTCATCATCATAATTCGAGAATTTGACAATTGGAATATCACATTCTCCTTTCTATTGGAGTAAAGTGTACAAATCAAGAATATATTCAAAAATACATTCAATCCTAGACATTACTCATTATTCAATGATAAAACAGTATTATCTAAAACATCTGGAATATTACCTCTCTTACAGTTGTAGAACGAGCAGCTTCAATATCATGACTTGATGAACGTAGCCAGTTGAATCTGTTCCTCTTAGTGTGACCTTTCTTAGGAGTATGTAAGTCATTTTCAGCTACATTTTCTTCATCACCAGCTAAGTGTGCTACAGAACCCATATATTTGAAAAATGAACTGCTATGATGATCGTGATGATGAGAGTGCTTTAATTGCAAAACTTCAATAAGGCTGTTTCGATCAGAAGCTGAAAGCTGATTAGTGGTCGCTAAATCGTTTACGATTGCATTGACGATATCTGGAAAATCTTGCTTTTCAAGATCAAGTAGTACGGTGCCTATATGCAATGAACCCCAATGAAATTACGATAAAGTAATCATTTTAGGCAATAGATCATGAATAATTCCACGTTGGAAACTTGCAAGGTTCCTTCGTACTAACCGTATTCAAAGCATCTTCGGAGTTCCAACAAACTATGAAAAGATAGCGTAGCAACATGCGGTTTACCCCATCTATCAGCACGTTCTTCAAGATCTTCTTCAAATTTAATCCAACGTGCAGTTTCCTTCCATTCTGCTCCTTTTAATTCTTCTAACTCTACAAACACCTAAGTAACCAGCAATGTAATAATCGATTTATTTTCACAAAATAGAAGTGTTATGAACTGATAACGGACAGCCAAAAACAGAGCAAATTCCATTCTAAGGTTATAGATCATTATAAACTCACCTCGTGAGGCGTATGATCATAGACCTGTTTACTTTTCTTATGCAGTTGGCCATCAGAACTATATTGAGTAAATTTACTCGGTGTTTTTTTCCTATTGGTAATAGGATGACGATGAACTGCGGGTACATCTTCTAATCGATGAACTGAAATAAAATAAAGGCCTCAATAAGTAACTTCTACGCCCAAGACTAATATACTGTAGTGTTTGTAAAAGTGAATGTTACTATTGTACAAATTAATCTATGATATAAATTATAGCAATAATGTCAAAGATTTTATAACAACTACACATTCGATTTATGAGTAAACAGAATAATTTAAGGAATAGTTACAATAAATTCTAGTACAGATTACCACATACTAGTCATATCGTCTAAATCTTTTTCAGGTAAAATGATTGCTTCTTCAAGTTCAGTCGGAAGAATAGAAACGTCACTATCCAACTTCGTTTCAGTACCAGATCGAACAAAGTGAGTCTAAGATCATTAGAAGAGCTCAGTTAATTTTATGAAAGTTTACCATATAAATATAATCTTAGTGTATAGTATTTTAAGTCATATATCCGTTTAAATCTCGAATATGTGGGACAAACACTGAGTAAATAATTACCAAAACTGGATCCTTTTCACCACGCCGTTTGCCGTGGTGATGGTGATGATGATGATGATGGTGATGGCGATGACGATGTTTATCGTGTTCTAAATCTTCAGCTATTATATACGCAAGGTATAAGAAATATTACAAGTGACATTAACCTTTTTCAAAGAATTAAATATAGCGCAAATTTACTCTGAAATAGGTGTATAACGTTAGGATAAACTCAATGCTGAGCGCATGGAAGCAATTCTACATGTCTTTACCAGACGTTTTCTTTGTCTTGTCACGATCCTTTTTCTCCTCGCTATCTTCACTTTTCTTCCTTTTCTCGTTCACACCGTCTTCTTTCTTTTTCTTTCTCTCCTTTTGACTATCTTCTCTTTTCTTTTTATGCTCTGTTTTTTCAGGTGTATTTTGCTGATTATCCAAATTGCGTACAATACTTTCATTACTTTTAGTTTTATGATTCTTTTCATGAACGCTCATATTATCTTTGACTTCGTTGGTAGATTTTTTTTCAGTATTATTACTCTGGTTAGGAATATCATTGTTAATAGGTAATACTATTGCATCCGCTGTATTTTCATTATGGGAGTTACTTCTACTTCTGATATTAGAGCTTGCAGCGTCAGCTAATATAGGAGCGCTCTTATTCTCAACACCCACTAATGATTGTGTTCTACGATCCCGTCTAGCAAGGTTACCAGCACTTAAACTCTTGTTTCCTCGACCACATTCAACAATATGTCGAGTTTTGACGGGTTCCTTATGATGTCCTAGATTGGATGGAGAGCGATGAATTTATTGCTATTTATACATAGACAATATCAGCAAGAAATTTTACTGCACTTCACTGTCGAATCTTGTGATCTACATTATTTGATATCATTAATACAATTTCAAAAGTTGTCTTACCTTCCATATCTTCATCATCGACATGAGCTAATTTTGTATATGGTGTATCCAAAGTTTTCTGATCTTCTGCTCGGATAGCATCCATGTCGGTCATCGTAACAACTTTATTAAGTTCTTCATCAATAGAAGGTTGCCGATGGAAGGTAACACTTCGTTCCTAATATCAGACCAAATTTTAAAGGAGTAAGTAAATCTATATCCATATAAATAATACTTGTATAGACAACATACGGTAATAAGGGGTAATCAAGATGGATCAATGCCAAACGCAATGGATTTAACGAAATTAGAAATTTTTTTTCTTGTAAATGATTCAATTTAAATCAGCAATGGCAAATTAAAAAAAATTATAATCACTTCTATATACTGCTCGATCATTTACTATACTAAGAAAATTTTTGAATTGCTACAGTAATATACTCAACTGCAGTATTAAAGTGGCGTCTAATATTCAGCTCAATGTTGACTGGTTGAAATCATTTTTTGTCGATTTATTGGCGTAAAATTGCCTAGCATTACATTTCATTAAAAGAGTAATAAGCCCATAGAATATGAGTATTGCTTAATCAAATCAAGAGAGCAATATGTTCTCCTAAAAAATAGCTGTACAATATTTTAGATAAACTAGTTACAAGTCTGATCGTTATCATACTTTCATTTTTCTTCATTTCTTAGGTCAACTACTTGTATTTACTCAATAACATTATCCAATGATACTGCTCGATTAGCTCATGATTAGTAAGTAAAAATTCATTGATATTGGAGACGAATTGAAGACTTTGCTCCAATTGTTTAAATCATCGAGATTGAGTTAATTCCATTCAGTCTGCATGATGATACAGTATCATATTGAAAGCCATTAAAATGAAAAATTTGCAATCATAACTACTGTCCACTACTGTATCCAATTGCTGTGTTTTCTTATTAAGTAATACTGATTCCCAGCTCTTTTAAAAAAAATGTGTACAATTTTATAACGTCAATAATAACTTTTTAGCAGGTTTACATAGTCTTTGCATCAATATTTTCAATCAAGGAAAGCCAAGGCGGATGATGAAATAATTTTAAGAAAGGAGCAATCTATTCATTGTGTAGTGGATAGATAGACCGACATGAATCGTGACATGCCGGAAGTTAAAATATCCACCAAGGATAGAGTATCCAATCAAAGTCATGATAAATAGCAATATGGAAAAGTAAATAGACGAACATAACATGAAAAAACTATCAAAATAGGTTTAGCCATCCCTATTTCAATCAACAAAGCAAAAACTTAATGATGAACTACTTTGAAGATAGGATTAAGTCATTCATTGCGTAGTGAATAGATTGCCATGAATTAGGACTGGAAGTTCAACAAGATTTATACCATAGTATTCTTCAATTAAATCAACATCAAATGCAATATGAAAATGTCCATAGATGAAAATTGATGGATTACATAATAAATGAAGGATCGATTGACTTTAGGATAGGATAGATCGTTTTGACTGGATTAAAACGATTAAAACGATTAAAGCAATTAGCCAAGTGATACAGTATTTATAAAAATCAACACCAAATGCGATATGGAAAAGTAAATAGATGAAAAGAGTATCTCAAGCTACCCCCAAAAGGTCTCGTTAGGGCACTATTCTCCGTGTTGAAGTAATCCCTTTTATGTGTTACATCATCGCTAAGTGTAAAATAATATCAAGAAAGGATAAAAGAATTTCTACAAGATCAATACCACAAACACTTCTCTATCAAAGGTTACCGATGAATAAAAAATGTTTTACTATCAACAATTCAATCAAAATTAACAACTAATCCATTTTTTTAATACCATTTTAGCAGAGTTGGATCAATATTGAAAGTAAGACCGCAAAAGAGATGGTTGATAGAAGCAATTTGAGCGTTTTTATGAATAAAATACAATCGCAATTTTCAGTTGTGCCCAAGGAATTTAGAATAGACGTTGATCAATCGATCGATGAATAGGTATTGAGTTATGATCGCCGTGATAGTAAAATTAAATTGGATTTGTTGGATATTATTTACTTCTATGCGTACGTGTCTACTGAGTGCATCTCCTCCGTTTACAGTAACAAATATATAGACGGGTATACAAAAAGGAGGAGAGTAAATCATAGCACAACTATGTCAGCAAAAGAACATTATTCTTATTATGCAATCCTACGCATGTAACATATGTGATGCAATGACTCCAATCATAAGCAAATCCTCATTTCTTCTGCCTTTAATAATATAGATTGTTGTCTAATCCACGGACACCTTGCTGGCATAGGGTTACTTTCCAATCATTGAACCTCTCGGCTTGGCGAAAATATGGCTTAGACAAACAATGCACGGCTAAGCATAAGGAGATTATTATCAACCAACATTGCGTACATGCATATGCACTAGTGGGCAAAGAGTAGGAGGAGGAAAATGCCGGCATGTAGTAAACAGGCGGCCATGAGTTATTTAATGGCAATTTAAATGTGCACGTTGAAGGGATAGAAAGGGCTTGCAAAGAAATTTGGACGTTAACTCAAACTCTGATTTGTAGTAGCCTCTTCCTGTGATAGGATAAACATTTTGTTTGAAGTCATGACATTGGAATGGTATTATTTTTAATGGCTCTTTATGTGCAAATTTGAGGGATTGAAGGGGCTACCATAGAAAGAAAAATTGGACTTTAACTGCAATTTCGATTTTCAACAGTCTCTTTTTGTAACAGAATTGGCATTTTATTGAAAGTCATGACTAAGGTTTGACAGCGATAGGTTAGAGAAGAAAGCTGATGTAGGGTAGACAGGCGAACAATTATTTTATATATATGCGTATATACTGTAGGTAACATAACATATATATTTAGTCATTAGTCATGCAATGATGCTTTTAATGGCTCTTTATATGCTCGTTTGAGGGTTGAGATGGCTTAGAAAGAAGTTTTTTAAGTTCACTACAATTTATATTTCCCAAAGCCTCTTTCTGCAAGAAAATATGCATTATGCATTTTAAGCTATACAGTAACTAAGGTTTGACAGGAACAGGGATAGGTTAGAAGATAGCCGGTACGTAGTAGACAGGAGAACATTTAGTCATGGAATGATACTTTTTTTAATGGCACTTCAAGCTTGAGGGGTTGCAAGGGCTTACAAAGAAGTTAGACACCTAATGCAATTTTTTATTTGCACTAGTTACTTGAATAGAATATACTGTACGTAGTATTTTAAGCCATGATTGAAGTTTGACGATAATAGGAACGGTAGACAGGCTAGTACTGGTCATTCATTGGTATTTCGAATGTGATAGTTTGTGTGGATTGAAAGAGCTAGAAATAAGTTTACTCTTCAGATAATATTTTATTTCCTGCTGCCTCTTTCTAGAGTAGAATGGGTTTTATTTTAGCCATTATTACAAAGACTTGACAGCAAAAAGCTAAGAAGAAAACTTGTACGAGCTACGTAATACGATAGACCAGTAATAATCATTCCATGTGACTTTAATGCGCTAGTTTGCGAGGTTGAAAGCACTGGGAAAGAAGGTTTAAATGCGAGTGCAATTTTTATTTCCAGCAGCCTCTTTCTTAAATAGAGAATATGTTCAATTTAAGCCATCACTACGAAGGCTTGATTAGCAATAGGAACTGCTAAGAAGAAAGCCGATTACGAACTATGTAATACGAGATAGCCGAGCATTAGTATCATCCCAAGCTGCTTCAAGTTGGAAGAAAAGCCGGCAGTATTATGTCAACAGTGCTAACCAGCTAATCATTTGAAATCCTAGCTACCTCTTTCATTATTTAAAATGGAATAGTCATACATTTGAAGCTATTCTAAGGACTAAATAATTTAACTTATGGACGTACAAGGATGATATTGTGCACTCTCTACACAACTAATTATTATAATTAAAATTGAAT